GGGGAAGTGCCACAACTCCCCTTGTTGTCCTGTGAAGTATTCTGTCTCTCTGTGCTTCCCTGTGTCTGAGGAAAATAGTTGGTGTTTGAAGTTTTGCCTGTATTATTCAAAATCACCACAGTACCATATCTTTGACAAGGATCTATGGAGATTCTGTCATTCATGGCTGTCCCAAAGGTGCTTTTTCAAAAGGCAACTGGACTTTGTTTTTCCTTGAAGATGTTTCGCTTCTCATCCAAGAAGGTTTTTTAGTTCAGTTCCATAGAGATTCTTTGATAAGGCATTTATCCATAGAAATTCTTAAATGATAAGGCATTTATCTAAACCTGCATATCTAAAAAAATAAGCTGCTGGAGGGATATTCTCCCATTCTATGAAAGGATATATTATATGTTTATGTTGTGTAATGTCTATTTCATTATTATATATGGAATTGCTATTCACTATAATAATATTTCCCAATGAATGCCAAAGAAAGCAGTCATTTTTTCGGTAGTAACCTTTTGAATTTCCCCAATTTAACTATTTTGGGGGTAAAACAAAATAACAGCTACTTCAATTGTTTACTTAAATTCTCAACAGCTGATTCATCAGAAAGGGTTTGATGTTGATAAGTAAAATGGCTGATAATGGCCAAGTTCAATCAGTCAAAGCCCCATAAGTCCTTTCCTTTATTCATTCCTGCCTGCTGACTTTTAAATTATAAGCTTCTTGCAGCAATCATGTGCCTTTTGTTCTCTCACACTGATAGCAATAAATAATTGAAAATGGTAATCTGAATTGTTCCAATACCTACTTTAATGACCTCAGAAAACCAGAATAAAAATTTAAAGCTTAATAATATTCATGTAAAATCTATGGCCTTAATTTCAGGTTGAAAAACAATAGCAAAGCACATGGCAAAGAAAACTCATAAAAATATACCATTGTTCACACATGAAACAATATACATACCAGCATATTTTAAAAATTTATCAGGATGTATAATTTATTAACAAAGATCTGCTGATGCTGGGCTAATAAAAGAACCTGAATTGAAAAATCAATAACAGTTCTAGAAGAGAAAGCAGCTAATACACATAAACACAGATAGACAGACAGATAGGCAGACAGTTCTTGAAAGGAAACCTGGTGAAAGATGGCCTTTTTGGTTTATTTGAAATTTGTCAGTCATAGGATAGATTAGAGAGAGAAAGAAAGACAAAGACAGAGACAGCTAGACAGAACCATCTCTATATTGGGTGAATAAGAAATGATTGCTCTGACTTGTATTTCTAAAAAAAAAAAAAGTGGGAGAGAGGACAGCATGCTATTTGGACCTTAGCATCCTGGAAAAAAATATAAAGAAACTAAAACAAAATGTTATATTCAATGAACTATGTTGGGTGATCCAGCACTTTAGTCTTTGAAGAAAAACATATTTTCTCTCTCTCGCTCTCTCTCTCTTTCAAAGGGAAACCAAGAAAATAAATTGAATACATCTGAAGGATAGCTTTCTGAAATAAAGAATTGTCTTTTATAATAAGGAGATATAGTCACTATAGTTATAGACCATTGTAGGAAGGTCCAAAGGAACCTGCCATTTTTCCGTCTGATTGGATTCAAGCTGCCACAGATTTCCATGGATATCCACCTTGCAAACCCTCCCCCCCCCTTGTGCATGCCCATTGTAAACATAATAGACGTTTCCTCCAACTGAGGACAGAGCAGTAAACGAGGACAGAGGTCAACTGTAAGATTCCAAAGACCTCAAGGCTGCTTTTGATTGCTGTGATATTTCAGCTAAGCAGCCTTCCTGCTAGCCCAGAAATTGCCTTGCATTTAGACTTAGCCAATAACAAAGTAAGTAAACAAGCAAACCAGTTCAACAATCCAGGCTGCATGGAGCTGTTGGACTCAGCCAGTAGATTTAATAAAACCTTTACAAGCTGAAAAAAAGATGGGGAGATTTCCTCAGCAGTAGAACTGCAGCTATCAAGATGCTTTCTACTTTTTGCAATATAATGGATGTGGGAAAGGGAGGACAGGGCAGAGTGTATGTAAGTGTGAGAAAGAAAACTTGGCTCCTACAAAGGTATTCTTAAATTAGCTTCCAGTTAAAGAGAAGATGAGCGCACACAAATTACAGAGCTATAAAAGAAAATGTAAGCCTGCTTTACTCAGTTACTCCCCCACCTTCAAAACCCAGGGCCAGACCTATCATTAAGGCTGTTATTTCTGGCAGCAAACTCACTGCCTTTCCTATCTTTATGAGACAGGTTATTTCCTTACCTTATTGTGCCTTCTAGCATTAATCCCCCTTTACTGGACTGGTATGATCGTGATGAGGCCAGGCACTTCAACTCACAATGGCAATTGGGACCAGAATTTCCATTGCTAAATCAAGTAGTCATAAAATGTGACTGCATCACTTAGTGACAGCAATGCTGCAATCATGGTTGCCTTTATTAACCAAATCCCATGGTCATTAGACAGGACAAAAAAGTGCGACCACATCACTTAGTTACAGCAATCCCTATAGTCCTGGTTGCCGTGAATCCCATGGCAACTTCCAGTTGTCTTATCTTAATGTCTAGGCTAGGGTATGGAGATCTTGGAGGGTGTATGAGGGTGTGAGGGATGTGCAGCAAGCCTCGAGGGTGTGCAAGGGTACATGGGAGTGTAAGAGAGTTGCAGTGAGATTTAGGAAAAGTCCTCATGGATACACAGAGATCGGAGGGAGGTTTGGGGAGGGTGTGCAGGGTACACAAGGGTGTGAGGGAGGCATGATGAGGGTGCATGGGGGAGACTTACCCCAGTGACTTTCAACCCTTCTCCCTGCCAGCTTCCCTACTGACTTTCTGGTAAAGCCAGCAGGGAAAGTCCCAAATGACGATCATGTGATCATGGAGTGCTACAACTGGTTGTAAGTGCAAGTTAGTACCAAGTGTCCAGATCATGATTATGTCACCATCAGGTTGCTGGGACATCCAGAACTCCAAGTGCAGGTCATAACACCATTCACTCAGCACCACTATAACTTCAAACAGTTGCTGAATGAATGGTCATAAGTCAAAGACTATCTGTACTGCCTTAAAGATGCTATAAATCTTTAATGAGAAAGAGTAGCTGCTTACTTCTTGCTTTTCTGGCCTGGCTGGCAGAAAGTGCTGGCTGAACAGCCAACATATTCCAGATGGCATAGTGCAGCAGCCTGAATCACTCTGCTTTTAAGGTGCATTGGTGCTCACTGCTGTGCTGCATCATTTGTTTGGATGAGAAACAAGAAGCATGAAAGACGTGATGGGTGAGCAATTTCAAGGGGTTGAAGGCTAGATCAATGTGTGCTATGTGGTTCATGTCCCTACTTAGAGCCAGTCTAAGACAGTTTCCTTTCCCTCCCAAGTCAAGGTGAATATAAATCAAAACTGATTTTGATACTTCAGACTAGTGGGTTTTTTAACCTTGGCAATATGTGGACTTCAACTCCCAAAATTCATGTTGCCTCAGATAAAAGATTCCACCATCAGTTCTCCTTGAATAATAATATATTCAGTATTGCAAATTGCTTCTTTTTCATAATCTTCTATAAAACACTTGAAGCTTTCAATATTATTTAGACATTCAACTGGGCTTGTTTCCATATAGATAAAAGTTGGAATGTCACTTAAAAATTGTGTTTCTGTTCTGATTTGTACTGGTTTTCTCATGCAATGGAAGATGCAAGACTACAACTATTTCTCTTCTGCCCTAATTCTGTAGCTGTGAAATTGTTCAGCATCTTGCCTTACTTGCAAATGGAGAAAAAGCTGTTTCCTCTGGCCTAAGCCCACAAATTATGTTCCAAAGCTTAGGTGGAATAGAGAAAGATATTCTCTGATATAAAAAAGGCAGAAAAAACAAAAGAAGGGTAGCAACAGAAGCATATTATATGACGCAAAGAAAATCTTTCATCCTAATCTTTAAAAGTATTATTAATCCTTGACCACATGAAATAATATTTATCAATATTTTCATTTATATCAATAGCTCATAATCAAAAAGTAAACATTTATCCATGATCCAAGGAGATAAATTTGGGGTTGCATTTTTTAAATGAAACAGCCTTCTTAGAATGCAATTGCAGAGTTTAAGTGAAGTCACTAACGGGGCCTTCTTTGTAGCCTGCTGGAACAGGTGGCAGCCAAGGCCAAGAGAGCTTTCAGCCAGCTAAAACAGGTCCACTATTGCACCTATTCCTGCACCAAGAGGCACTGAAAATAATGACTCATGCCTTTGTCAACTCTCAGTTGGATTGTTGTCCTTCATTCTACGTGGGACTGCCCTTGGCATAGTGTAGCTGCTTGCTTGCTGATTGGTGCTAGCCAGTTCAGCAACATACCTATTGTATGAGCTACACTGGTTGTCACTAGGGCTTCTTGACTGCATTCAAGATACTGGTTGTCACCTAAAAACACTCAATGGCTTGGGCTCGTTATTTTTTAGATTGTTTTTTTCCAAATAAAATCTGCCTGGAACAGCTTGTATCTATGTCAGCCCCACTAGATACAGCAGACCAGGAAATCAGCTCCACAGGAAAGCTAATACTATTTTTATCCAGAATGGCTATAACAAAATCTTGCAAGTCTCATCATGCTGTACCTCCCCATTCTTCTTAATCTGTAGTGAATTTGGAAGGTGTTTAAATTGCTTCCAAATGTTACCAGGAAGCGTTTTTTGCCTAGGCAATTGAGACTATATTATCTCCATCAAAGTCATCTTTCTTACTCTCTACAGCACAGGTGTCAAACTCACTGTGTCATGTGACATGTTGCAATGTATCATGACTTTTTTTGCATTGCTTGAGCTGGGGTGGACGTAGCCTCTGTATGATACAACTGGCCCAAGGGCCGGCAATTTGACACCTCTGCTCTACAGGCTAGCCACTACCCTTTTATCCTTTAGGAAGTAGTCAAAACTACGTCTTCCCCAAGGCATTTGGGGTATGTAAGTTTTTAATGGAAGACAGCAACAGACTTTAAAAAGTTTAATATTTTATAACTTTATGGATGTAAAAGTAAATATAAGCACTGCAATCCTGTACACATTTTCCTAGGAGTAACACTAAATTCAATGCAAATTCGTATTAATGATTACCTTTGGCTTCTACTAAACACCCCTTATGGCTTGTAAATATAAGCATCTTGTGTGTTTCTTTTAAATTGTATGTTATTTTAAATTAACTCCCATCAATGGACAACATTTTGAACTTAGGAAATCAGTTGTAAAGGGGAGTTTTTCTTTGTGTTAGGACTATATTTTTTACTTCCCCATTCTTGCTTTGCAAAGATTTTGCCAAGACAAGCATAAATGTATTTTATGAGAAATTTTGTTTGAATGCCTTTCTTGTTCCCAAGATTACAGTGCCTTGTATATAAACTAGTAGCTCAAGCCAAGGAGACTCCCAACAATTGCTTCACAAGCTGTAATTCTGTAATCATATATGCAGAAATCACTTTTGCTATGTGTGTGCAAAGCTGTATATATAGTGTGCCTCAGGGCAAATTAAGCCAGAAACAACTGCCATGCATTTCTACAAAATGACTATCATTTGAAAACACTTAAGTTTACTTGCCTAGACTTTCTTTTTCTACACACACACACACACACACACACACACACACACAAATATATAATGCATATGGTATGTTATATTCTTAAATAAATGAACCAAGTTACATTTTCTTAAGAAAGGCTCCTTTAATAAATTAGGAGTCTGTGAACCACAACTATCCAATTTAAACTCAATTAACAGGATTATATGCAGATTCCTGGTGACACAAGATTCCAACCATGATTTTCTGAGCCAATGAAACAGAAAATCTGTGCTGAGTGGTGTTCAGCAAAACTCCCTAAACTTAACATGTTGTCTAAAGACAATGCAGTAAACTAGTGAGCTGGCAATTTACAGTATCTGAAAGGATGGAATTTGGATGAGGTCCCATCCTGCTGTCAAAATTCAACATCTTGGAGCAAACTATGAGACCATTTGTGCTTGATGTGGCTTTTTTTTTTTAATTTGCTTTGAGAGAGAGGGTGGTGGTGGTGGTGGAACATATGTAAAAAATTTCAATATCCTCCCTCAAGAGTGGTTATTGCATATACGATTACAGAGTTACAGCTTCCCAGAATGAGAATGTCCTTCACTTGTATTATTACTTTATATACCAAGCACTGCAATCTTAAGAACTAAAAAGACATTCAAACATAGCACAGCATATCTCACAACATATATTTGGCCATGTGCTGACAAAATCTTTGAAAAGAAATAATGGGGAAATGAAAAAGAAAAGTAAATGTTCAGCCATACTACCATAGTTCCTGATATTCACCCTTCTGTCACAAATCCATATCTAACTCTAAGCTGTTCCCTATCAACCTGCTTAATACACATTATGGTGAAGAGTAAATACATAGTTGAGCATGAATTTTTTTTCTTGGTTTATTTCTACCTGTGAAATATAATTGGATATGACTACAAGAAAATCTTCAATAACCAATTTATATTACCTTCAAGCTGTGGCCTTTCCCTGCTTACATGGCAAGTTTATGAGGTGAAAGAAATGAACTGCTTGCTGTAAAGGAAGGAACATAGATACTATATAATAAGGATGAAAATCTACCTTCAAATGCAATTATTTTAGAGATATAATTTTAGTAACTTGCTTTATTTGTTAGTAGTCTGAAGTATAACAAAATGATACATAATAGGATGGTTTTTTTCTAAATAACTCATTTATAGCATAAATATAAATCAATGCTGAATCTATGTTCAATAAGGTAGCCTAAACACCACTTGGTACCTTCAGGGTGCATTAGGACTATACCTTTCATAATCTAACAACCACACACAGAAAGACTACAAAAGTTATATAACTATTAAACCACAAAAATATTGATTCTGTGGGAGAAACTAGGAATTATTCCAGTTTCAGTCCAGTTCACAGAATGGAAAGAATAACTGTATAGCTAGGTTATGAGCATCCTATCCATGTGTACATTGGAGATAATTTCTAATTTTGCCACTAAGTGTATAAGCATAAAAGCAACATTATGTTAAAAATTAAACAAATGTGAGTTTTGGGGAGATGAAAGACTGTTTCTCCAACAACTGGTTCAACTTCCTGTCCCTATGAAGAAAAAAATTGGAGAAAACAAATTACTTAAAACGGGAAGAAAAATCACAAGTAGTCTGGTGTAAACATAGCTAAATTACTTTAAAAAGTGACATCATTTTTAAAGTAAAATAAGAGCAAATAATCAAGCATGAGTAGCAATTGTAGCACAATCAAATCAGGTTCATGGTATATTGCATTTTTAAAACAGAAGTAACATTAAGAAATTGTATTGTTATTTGTGCAGCCAATATAAACAACTCCTGGGAGAAACAGTTCCTCCACGTGTTTGTGGAAAAATTACAAGAACACATGTTCCATTAATTTGGCATCCTCTGTATCATCTGCTGGAATTTCAAACACTCCTTCTAGGCTAGCAAGGACAGAGATGATAAGTTTGTGTAAATTTTCTTTTTTGACACTGAGGCATGTTTCAGCTATCTCCTTCCATCCTTCTATATTGCAGGTATCGTTTACAATCATTTGCTCCAATGTATCTACAAATATATTTGAGAAAGAAAATAGACAAAGACTATTTTGTTGCTTTTTGTCTCTGAATCACTAACTGTTAAAAATGCATACAATTTTGGTATGATTCTAAATTACAGCAAGCATTCAGCAGGTATTACTGTCAAGAATATGTTTAAAGTAGACACAATTTAATTTGAAAGGGAACTCATCCAACTTTGGAATTGTGATTGAAGCATGAGAAAAATCTAATTCTTTCTACTCTCCATTTTCTAATTAAAATCTCTTCCCTGCATTTTATCTAGTCAGATAATTGCAAGAGAATGTAGAGGTCATAAGGCACAGCCTTGAAGGGCAGTGGGAAAAGAGCTACCTCGACAACAATCAGATAAGACTATGGTTTTGTTTGAATTACAGGATTTATCCTTTTTATAAAGGGGGGGATATCAACGCTGTAACATTGGATGTTCCTGCTCTGACAACTGATGGAAACTGCAGCCATTTTTACTTTGCTTTTAACATGCTTTTTCTTCTATTTAGAAATTAGATGTTGAAGGGGGGGATAGGGTGAATGCTTGGAGCTCAGTTAGCCATAATAACAATGCAGCTCCGTGGGATACTCAAGGACACAAACTGATTTTGGTGGGCTGAGGAGCTGGGAAGAGAGCCTGCACTCCTGGCTAATTGGAGAATGTGATTTATGACTGCTTTGTAGGGATGGGACTTGCATTCTGTTACTTTGTATCTGGGGGAAGGGAATCTAGTTTTGGGTTCAACTATGTAGTGCCGATACTTTATTTGCTGAATAAAATGTTCTTTAAGGAAAAATTCCTGCCTTGAAGGTCTTTTGATGGGTTTCATCTATTGGAACCATGACAAGGGGACTGAGTCCAGGCCAACAAAATATTGAGAATATTGAGAAAACATCTCAGACAAGCCCCTTCCTAGTTCAAACAAAGATAAAGGGAAAGACGGGGAAGCACATTCAGACTTGCAAGATTCTGTTACTATATCTGTTACAATAAAAGTAGTTTCTTAAGCTGGTTTACTTTCTAGGGTTGCCACATTCCCACTGGAAAAAGTCAAGCTATACTCACCCTTGCCCTTTTTGGTAATATCCTCCAACAAGCGTATGCCATGTATTTGATGTTCTGTTCCAATGAGAGAAAGGATGGTTTCCCCAAGGGACATGATTGGTTGTTTCCCATTCCATTCTTGAGTAAGGCAACGGATGAAATCTATACGAGGACAATGCTTCAGTAGAAAGACATAATCCTCTGAAATCAAATAGCACAGGTGTTAGAAAGCCTGACAAGAAAAAAATTACCCAAATATATTTATATTTTCAGCTTGAAAAGCATGTCTGTCATTTTTATTTTCCAGCATAAAATGAGCAGAAGTATACACCTTTGAAAACTCAATACTGTATGGAATTATTGCATTTTTATGTATATAACCTCAGAGCTCTTTTTCATTTAATCCTTACTTTAAATGAACAATGTGTCAATGCTGTTAACATCGGATGTTCTTCCTTGACAAAATATGAAGATGCAGACATTTTCTATTTGACCTGTGTATTACTTTTAGAGTTAAAATTAGATAGTTGATGGAAGGGAGGGGGGAAGAATGTACTTGTGGACTAGTTAGCCATAACAATATCTCAGTAGAGTATTTTCAAGGTTAGTTGTAATGAGAGAAGATAATGGGAGAGAAAGTTCACACTTCAAACTAATTGGAGAATGTGATTAATGACTGTTAAATGAAGGAATGAGTTATGCTTTGTTACGGTGTGTTGGGGGAGGAGAATTCAGATTTTGGCTTCACTATGTACTGCCAAAGCTATGTAGCAATTAAAAAGATTCTTTAAGGTAAACAATGCCTCCAAGTTCTTTGAAGAGCTTCTTCTTTCGGAACCATGACACAATGAACAATGAAATAAACAGCATTTTCTACCCCTCAACTGGGCTTCTGTGATACGTATTTGTATGTGAACAATATCAAAATGGAAGGCATGATTAAATGATAAATGTCCCACTACTTTTTATTCTATACTACATGCATGTAAAAACAGGTAGAACTTTGATAGTTCTGATCGGTGTTGACCATGACACAGACATCCCTGATCTCAACACTGATTTGGGAATGACCAAGAAATACAGTGCTTTGTTCAGCACACAACTTCTTGATTGAATTAGCTAATTCCTGGAGGACAGGTTCATTAACAATCTCAGCCATGGCAAGATGGATCTGCAATAAAATGTTTCATTCTTCAAAAATGAATTCTGGTGAAATACGCTTTTATCATTTTAGGGAGGGCTGGCAATGTTATAAGCATGCTAAAATTTGCTGTTGAGGAAATGGTCATATATTAAAAACCATAGTAGTCACTTCATACCTGCTCACCTTTTTCAATGTTCAATGGATTGTTTGAGAGGAAAACAATCCTCAGCTGAATGGGACCAAATATGTGCAGGGTGGAAGAGTGGGGGGTGAAACCAGAGAAAGAAAGATCAAATCAGGGTAGCAGAGAAAACAATTCCCCATAGTATCCCTATAAGAAAGGCAATTGGGCAACACTTCAAAATATTGCATACTCCCAGAGAATGCAGCATATGTAGCCTCCCCTATGCTTCCCAATGCACAGATACATGCATAGATACATATGCATCATAGGGTGAGAACAGAAACATACACATATTCACATACAGAGGCAAAACATTTGCATCAAATTAGATTTATTCATTCCCTTCTTTTCTCACATACACATACTATAAGCAAATGCATAAATATATTGTGATAGTACTGAGAGCCACTTGAACATCATTATAACACTATCAGATATAATTTAAAATAAATACAACATAGCTCTGAAATGTACCTGTGGAAAGAAGTTGAAAATGATGTAGATAATCCATGGCTCCATAAATCTGGCCCTGTCTGCACAAGCACAGAACAGCTTTTTTGTGTGCCCCACACTCACTGTATGCAATTTGAGCCAAAGCTAGACACTGGGACATGTTGTGCATATCCACATCTGCATACTTATAGATTGCATCACCAGCAGCCTCAGAGAATTCCAATCTGGGAGAAACAAAGCAAACAAAACATCATTAGGTAATTTACAGATTCTGGGCATTGTAAAGAAAAGTGGAATAATGATGATGACAACAATACCTTATTCTTTTAGTAGAATAACATAAAATCAAAGAGTTATGATAAATAAGAGAAAAAGATACAGGGAAAAGAAAATAAGTATATTTGAAAAATTCACAACACAATATTTTGTCCTCATACATTTCTCCTTTTGGAAAACAGGGTATACTTTAGCAAAGCCCAGCTTTTTACAGCTTAAAAGTTTCCCCTTCTCTAAAGACCTTCTCTTACTCCATATAAAGTGAGTAAGATCTGAATATGCACCAGAAAATATCCATCAGGACTAGAAATGAGAGAAGTGGCATGCTTTATATCTGTCCCTAATTTAATAAACCTTATTGGAGTGCACTTATAAACTTGTTAGATGTCGCAGAGGAAATCATGAGCCCCAATAGATTTGCCTGAAAGGTGATACGTCTTTCCCATTCAGCTGGTGATTTTTTGCCTCTTAAACAGACCCTGTATTCCCTGTGCTTTTCAGGGATTTCAACTGCATCTGGAATTTGCAGACTGAGCTACAGGTTGGATATCTCCATAACCTGACCTGGAAGAGGAGCTCATCCCATGTTTCAGAGCCCACAATCCCCAACAGCAATTCCAAAGCCAAAGGCAACTAGGGTATAGGGATAAAAGATAGCCCATGAATGATAGGGTGATCTGACTGATTTCTCTTTGGTGCTCACTGCCATCTCTGTTATTGCCCTTGTTTTAATAAACCATTGCTGCTTCTACCAGAAATGGAAAAACTGGCTACTCTGCCATGTTCACCAAGGTGTCATAGCTGCATGTGGAATTGTAGGTATCTTTTAAAGATCTCTTTCATGCACTCTTTTCAGTACCATGGTGCTTTTGTTCCTAGAGCTTCACAAGACCTTGCTGAGAAATCTGGTTCACCCTTTGTGTACTGCACGTTTAGCTATTTGTGCATTGCCATTGTGTAAAGCTTGGAATATTCAAGGATAGAATAGTCTCCTTGTGTCTAGAAACTTCTGGAGATGAAATATGTTGAAGTTCCACTTCAGATGCTATTTTAAAAATGGAAGATGAGTTGTAAGCAATAAACCTCATTCTCTTTATTAAAGTGGATGCTTTCTCCTATAACCTTTCTAAAAGAAACTGTCACTGGGCTAGCTGGTTTTGTCTATAGTAATTTTTGCCCCAATGAAACTTGCATATAACAGATGTTCTATTCTTGCTGCTTTCTCCTAACTATAAATATCCTGTTCTCCTTCTGAAAGACTCCTTATTCCACCCTGCCTTCAGCTCACATGAATTGAGTTTGATGCAGAAGGGCTAATTCAGTTTGAAAATAATGCCTGTTATCCTTTTAAGAATTGTCTAGAATGTACCACAAATAATTGATTTAGCAAAAGCAATAGTATTCTTCAGCACCTGCCATACTGGAAATACGCCATTTAGTTTATAAGTGAATATTCTGACAGCCAATGTCCAAGATAACTGAACATTTGTCATACTTACCTGGAGTTTCCACAGAATGACCTATGCATTTCTTGTACATGTGTGTCTTCTGCTACTGAGCCAGAATTCTGAATGACCACTTACTTGTGCAAAGTGACCCAATGCATCACCAAGTCCAACCGTTTCTCAGCTAAGGCACATTTGATGGCTTCAGTTGTCAAATTTGCAGGAAGATGCTTCTTAACAGCAATGGTTGTAGTTATGAGTGCATCACAGTACAAAAGCAGAGGGAGGATCTTCCCTTTAACATGACCAACAGCTGAAGGGAAAAAGCAATATTTTAAAAAACATTTGCTTGCTGCAGTTTGTTTTCTATGCCATCAATCTTATTCTATCAAAGGAGGATTTGAACTCAGAATGCTATAAATTAAGAAAATGAGCACCTATTTTTTATTTTACATAATTTGAAAAGTTTTATAAAGAACTACAGAAAGGTGTGAAACTAGGAATTATCATATGTGTGGAATGATCAAAACTACTTTTTGGCTATTGATTGCAATTAATTCACATTCAGTATGGCAGTAATCACATCAGTAGGAACTAATTAAATATAAAACTCTGGTTCCTTTAAATCACAAAGCCAGAGAATTCTCCAAAAATATTTATATTTTTGACTATGGTTTACTGATATTCAGACTATATACAAAAGGGGAAGATTGCATCTGAGGCTCCATACCCCTAAATTTCTCCATGGTTTCTTCATTGCGTAGGATTCCTCTAGGACAGTTTGCTGCATATGTTGCTGCAGCCTCATACTGACCACGGGAAAACAGTTCATTGAACCTAGCACAGTTGAAAGAACATAACATTACAAATGATAGACATGGATGTAAAAATACCTTTATTATTGGCAAAACACTAGTTAAGTAAACTACAGAGGAAAGACAATCTAAATGAAGTTAAATAACATATAAGGTCACTTGGTACTCTGCCCTTGTGCCAAAAAATTGAGACGTGAAAGGAATTAAAAATATATGTTTCAACTTTGTGAAAACTTCCCCATTGCAATAGATAAATCATCATTCAGGTTTCATTACTTTTTCAAGTTCTCTTTTTCCAGAATAAATTCTTGTCCAAACTAAGCTTCTTATCATCTTGATCTCTATCTGCCTAAGTAAGTTTTCACTAGTGACATAAATCCCTGATTTTGTCCTCTACTAATGTCTTGTAAGCCCAACTATAAATAGAAGATCTTTAGGGCAGCAGCATATATCTTCATGTTGTTCTATCCAGTACTGTACAAATATCTAATTGCTATATTTGTTTCCCAAATAATTTTTCTTCATTATTAAGCAGGAAAAGTAGCAGCAGTTGTATTTTGCATTGGCCCAATAAGGGAGTATGGTCTGATGCTCTTTGATCCAAACATTTCCTTTGTTTTGTTTTGCCAACAAGACAATATTTTTTAATAATTTTTTGCCTGGGCAAGATATCGCCTTCCTACTTAGCCCTCTCTGCTGCAGAGCTCATAAAAAGTCTATGTCTCTGTTTTAACTTCCTGTTGGTCACTATATTGCTATAGTGCACTGTGCTTTTGTAGAGTGCATCCAATGTGCTAGGAGATAGGAAATGTGAAAATATTAGGACTAAGTGTGCTTAAAAATGATTTGAAGAAATGCTTCACACTTCAAGTAAGTGCAACCTCTTTGCTCTACATTAAAATAGACTGCCTTTTTTCAGGCCTCTGTACGAGTCTTACAAAAATGTGGCTGCTGTAAGAATGACTAATAAAGCAATTTTTTAAATAGCTACTGTTTTCATGCTTGTTCAGTTATTTTAGTGACGAACCAAGAAGTGTTGCATTTGCGCAAAACATTTTTCACATCATATTATGTGCAAACAGTTGGTATTCTTGGTGTACTAAGCAATTTCATTTGCCTGAATAAAGAGACAAGATCAGAAGACTCCCTTGCTATCTTACCGTTCAATATATTCAATCAGATCTTCTGCCTCTTTACTTTTAGAAGGATCACGTTCAAATACACTTGAGATACTAGAAGCAATTGAACCTGAAAAGTCAGATCCATCCACAGGAAGTTAATATTTTACATATTTAGAAAGCAAACAATACATTTTAACCAAATCAAGGGACACATCTGCAGTAAAAACACACTTTCTTTCATTACTTCAAACTGTGGCCTACACTTCAAAGGCTTTGCTGTAGCCTCTGGACCTCTCCTTACCCTGGTGTTAAATCAAAGGTAAGGAAGAAACAGGATACAGGTACCTCAGCTTATGATCATAATCGAACCTAACCATTGTGGTTGTAAGTCATGACAGTCATAAAGTGGCTCAGTTACATGACCAACTTGATTGTACAACCTTTTTTATGGCCGTCATTATGCAAATGCCATGGTTATTAAGAAAAAGCAATGGTTCTCTGTGGGCCATTTTTGCCAAAAACCAGAAGTAATTGTCAGGTTTTGGCAAAAGCATTGCAAAATGCAATCATTTGACTGCAGGACAATGCAAATGACCATAAACACAGTCCAGCTGTCGAGATTCCAAAGTGTGGCCATGTGACCATATGGGGGGGTGATCGTTGGAACTCTGAATATAGTTTATAAGCAACAGGTAGGTACATCCATCAGAACCTCAAATGGTTGCTAAGTGACTGGCCATAAGTTGAGGACCATACCTACCTACCTACCTACCTACCTACCTACATATAAAAACAAATTGTGAAGCATAAAATCAGAAAATTTAATGTAAGTCCACATCATAAAATGTAGACAATGAATGGTATAATAATCAGCCACCTTCATTTCAAAAGTTTGGTGGAAAAAGCTAGGGGTGACATGATAGCAGTGTTCCAATATCTTAGGGGTTGCCACAAAGAAGAGGGAGTCAAGCTGTTCTCCAAAGTGCTTGAAGGCAGGACAAGAAGCAATGGATAGAAACTAATCACATTGAGAAGCAACCTAGAACTAAGGAGAAAATTCCTGACACTTAGAACAATTAATTAGTGGAACAACTTGCCTCCAGAAGTTGTGAATGCTCCAACACTAGAAGTTTTAAAGAAGTGATTGGACAACCATATGTCTTAAATGGTATAGGGTTTCCTGCCTGAGCAGGGGGTTGGACTAGAAGACCTCCAAGGTCTAGTCTAGACTAGTCTGGTCTGGTCTGGTCTGGTCTATGCTATGCTATGCTATTCATCTTCACCCATTCTGCAAATTAAATGGACAAGAACCAATCTAAGTTGAGAGCATTCAATACATAGGACTGGAGAAAAAGGCCTGCATCTATTCTCACTTTCCTTTGACTTCTTGAAGAGAGGGAATCAGAAGCAAATCTTCTTAGAATGCACAGGGTGGGCAGTTTCTACTTGGGAAAGACAGTTGCAGGTTTTCAATTTTCCATAGCTGATTAATACATCTCTGCAAGCAAACTGAAATGATAACCACTGTGTAAAATAAAAGACTGGTGAGTACACCAGTCCTTCAAGTTTTTCTGGACAAGGAGAGATTGCCTATGCGTGCTCTGAATGACAGCCCCTTGCAAGGAGACCATAAAACAGTTTGAGTTGAGTGCCAGGAGCCAAAGAAGAAGACATCTTTACTTTCAGCAGTAGTAAGGTCTTTTATATAGACATAAAGGCAATAGAAATAACTTTCTAATCATTTTGGAAATGTTCAAATTAACTACTTTATGGATATTAGAGACCTTCAAAATGACAAGCGTAATTTTACACTTGGTGAATTTTACCCTCCTCTTTAATTAAAAAATGAATAAATAAATCAAATTTAAAAATTTTAAAATAATATACAACTTCCAAAAAGCAGGAAAAAAGGAATTTTGATTTAAGAAAATGTTTAAGAGATTTGAAGATCAGAGAGATGTGTGATAGTGGTTATTTTTTTATATAACCCATGAAAACCAAATTATAATTAAATAATATAGTAATGGGAAATGAATGAAATGGAACTAAATCCATATTAACAATTGAGGTTTGATGAAAGTTGCAAGTGGACACTAGAGGGAACCAAAGGACCAGACAGAAAGGAATTAAAATGGCTAAGCCAGCTATAATTTTTCCTACAGTTTTTTTAAAAATATGGCCTGAAATATCTTAGAAAGGATATAGATTTAATGGATAACTGTTTAGAAGATGCAAGAAATTTTTTTAAAAACCTTTACCTGACTTACATCTTATAGTTTGAAAACATGGAAGACAACAAAATTGAGATTACTAAAATGGGAATACAAAAGATAAATTAAGAAAAGAATCTGGATATGGAACAGCTACAACAAAAGAAACTCTTTAAGATTATGCCTCTTTATATGGGAAGAAAAGGATCGGGATCTCGAGCAGCTTTGACAAGAAATCCTGGATGATGCCTCTTTACGTGATTTACAAAGTAGGCTGGTGAAAACTTTGAAGACTTCTTTTCAATACTAAAGAGGGATAAAATATCAAATCTTGCAACACCATAGGAAATATTTAAAGGTCAGCTTGCACAGAGCAAAAGAAGAAGAAAAACAATATAAAATTGGACTATTTAACAAGGGATAAACTATTTCATATTTCTAGTAACACCTAATGGACTTCTTGCCTAACCTAGATTGAAAAGTTGATTTCTGCATATAGATAAAAGTTAGGCTATGAGGAGGGGTTTTTTTAATCTGTAATTTTAAAAGACATTGAAAAGTTAGTATATTATGGGTACTTGGTGTGATTCAGGTTGGAAGCAACTTCTTTATTATTGCCTTTGTTACCTTTTTACCTTCTATTTTTTTCTTTTTTCTGCACTTTTATTTTTCTTTTAATTTACTATGTTTATTAATAAAATTATTTTTTTTAAAAAAGAAAAGATAGTCCCACAGGTAACAAGGACCTGTGCCATAAATGGTTTTATAGGTTGTAATCCAGAAACCTATTGGTAACCAATGCAATTCCTACAATATAGGTATATATCAGAAAGCCCAATAAAGAATGATAAAGACAATTTAAACCCTATTTCTGCAAATAAACGGCACACAGTTTTTTTCCAGCATAACAAAGGCACATTGACTTTTTAGCACACCACCAGAAACATGTTTTTTTCTGATTTGTTGTAAAAAGCTGAAGTCTGATGTGTTTTTACCTTTTATAAGTTTCTCATTTTCTATCATCTGATATATGAGCTGCTGCAGAGTGTCAATATTCTTGTCTGTATTCTCCCAGATACTAATCACACTTGCAAACAGATTTAGCCGATAAAAACTATAAAAATCAGAATATTGGTTGAAAAGTGACTGTATCAGTATCATCTGTTGATTGAATTCTCCAGGGTTGTCCTTATCACATCATTTTATTCTCTTGTATATAAAAACACAGGACAAGTTTCCTGAGAAAAAGAATTTCCCTAATGTCTAAACTTGTCAAGTGATATATAATATATATATATACATAACTAGACTGCAATTATAATTGCAAATTGAATTGAAGCATTTCCTATATTTGCAAATCTCCATCCACAGGTTTTATATGCATAGTATGAAAAAGTCCCTTGCTAGTCTGTATTTACTTATATTTGATTAAGTGGGTTCATTCTCAAACTTAACTTTAACTTGGGTGCACTATGCCTTCATGTTTAGTTAAAGAAGAACAATAGTAGAAAAAATATACCCCATTTTCTGTTTGCAAACATCCAAAAGATGTCAACCGTGAAAAACAAAATATTAGACTAAAATGGGCCTTCGCCTGATTCAGCAGGCGTTTCTGATATTTTAGTACAACATACATTCAGGATACAATACATGAATAAGCTCTTACATTACACATACTAATTAAATTTATTTTTAAATTATCACAATTATTAATATTACACCATATACTTTGTCTATTAATCAAGTACTAGTTATTCTGACTGACAGTGGCTTTCTCAGATTTCATGTGGGGGTATTTCGTACTGTAATGTGTGTTGCCAAGAAACAACTGATAGTTTCATAATAATCTATTACTGTAAATTATACCATTTAATAGTATTAGGAATTCCAGGAACTGAGCTTTATATATGCAAAATATTTATTTGTTTGGCTATCCATCTCACAATGGTCACTGTGGCATTGGATGTCATACAAGTCCTGGCACCATGGAAAAAATAATAATCCCGTTTTAGATAAATACATAGAGAAATACAGCAATAGCAGCAGAGCTCACCTAACATCCTGACCCAAATGCCTGGAGTTAATATGTCTTCTATGCATTGATTTCCCTCATTAAACCTGTTAATGGCTGCTATGTTCTAGTTGGGGGTTGTTTTCTGTTGGTGCTAATCTAACCACAGATGCTGAGATAGAACATACAATTTTAGAAATGACAATTCTATGATCTATTCTAAGTCACTGTTCTAATCTGATAAAAACAAAGCGGACAAAGTTGCTATGCCCACTATTCAAAAATGAAGAAAAGAGAAAATACTCCAAATAAGTAAGTGCATATTGTAAAAGGAACCTTTATACCAAAACTTCAGGCTTTCATTCTTTTTTTCAGCCATATTTCGCTTTTGAATAGCATAATTCATGTCTTCTTCAACATTGGCTGTGTTTTCTATGGGAATGTATTTTGTAAACATGTCCTCTTTCAACTCCTTCAACCTTTTTTGTAGATGAGCTAAGTGGTTAGAAAGGACATCTATATCAAGCGAGTCTTTCATGTTAAGCCCTGTTGAAAAAAAGGAGGTGTTTCTATCAGTGATCATATTGCTAATCTATAAATTCAAACTGTATAAATTCTGTAACACCAAAAAAGCATTCTGTTATTATAAACCAAACTTCAAAGTCAACAGAGAGGTCTGCTTTTTTTGGAATGAACAACTAATGTAGAATGCATACTTTATATGGCAGACTCAATTCTACTCCTTCATATATTGCATGTGATAATTAATTTCAGTTTCAGCCTAAGTAATCATACATTAAAAAATATATAGAAAGGGCACCATCCAATTGTTCATTTCGGCTTGCTCCTCAATCTTGGCTCAGCTAAGATTTAGAATGTAATAGAAAACATATAATTATTCAAAACAATCTTAGATATTAACATTGCAGTATAATACAGAAGATGGTTCATGTTCCTGGTGTGAGAAAAAAATGATTTTTTAATTACAAACAACTCCATCTTACCTGGAATTTTTTTAGCAGGATTAACTTTCTTGACTACGGTTGAATCTTCTTTTGCTAAGAGTGTTAACCTTAAACTTTTTAGTTTCTGTATTAAGCTCTCAATTCTTGCAGAATTCTTCTCAATTCTTTTCACTCTAAAAACAAAAGCAATTCAAATCATACATTACATCTGTTTCATCTCCTGTAGACAATTGAATATAACTTCAATAACTGAAGACTTATAAATGCCTTTGAGATTTTAGATATTTGAGTTTTAAGTATTTCCTTTAAAAAAAATTATGCTGTTAATGGAAGTTACTTAGCTTTGTGTAACTTCATTGGGAATTTGGGGACAAAGTAAATGAATGAAGATGGTGGGGATATAGGCTGATAGGGTAAAACCTTCAGTTAAAAGAAAGAAAAGTTTGTTGTTCATCGTCCATAATTTCCCAGCTAGCACAGCCAATGGGAATGATTACTACCAATAATGCTCAACTTACAACCACAATTGAGCCCAAAATGTCTCTTGCTAAGTGAAACATTTGTTAAGTAAATCTGGCCCCATTTTATAATCTTTTTTGCTACAATTATTAAGTGAATCATTGCAGTTCTAAAGTTAGCAGCACAGTTGTTAAGTAAATCTGGTTTCCCCACCGACTTTGCTTATCAGAAAGTCACAAAAGATAATCACATGACCCGGTACACTGCAACAGTCATAAATATGAGTCAGTTGCCAAGCGCCTGAATTTTGATCCCATGACCATGGGGATGTTGCAATGGTCATAAGTGTGAAAAATAGTCATAACTCACTTTTTCATTGCTGTTGTAAATTTGAACGGTCACTAAGCTTTTAGAATAAAATAGAATTTAACAGTATTTACTTTATTTGTACTAAGCATTATTCTGATAAGTCATATTCCAGTGAACTTAAAAAATAATATAAAACATTAAATTTATTCTTGGTCAACAAAATAATCTAACTAGTTTAAAATTAAGTAATGAATAAGCAAACATAAAATTAAAAGAAAATGTATTATATGCTTTGATTGAAAAAATAACTGACAAGAGAAAAATATTATTAATAGAGCATTTATAAGGATCCTCTTTTTCTTCCACTACATTCTATAGCCCTGCCTACTACAATCTGGTTGCTACCGGTAATTCCAAAATATCTGGGAGAACCAAGTTTGGGAAGCACACCATAACCATTTCCTTCCACATTTTTCTTTCCGAACAGATCTCTGTTCTCCTCTAGTGGAATGCAGTTTGTAACCTTCTGGAAAAGTTTGTTCATATGGGACTTGGTCTATAGGGTCCCACAGGGTTCCATCTTTTCTCTTATGAATGTTCGTCACCTATATGAGATTAATGGGAAAGAATTCAAAATGCTAGAGTGGGTACTATCACTATACTGATGACACCCAGCTTTATGTATTGTGAATATCTATTGATTTCTTCACTAATTCTCTGAAATTTTCTTCAATAAACTATAAAATCAATTATGATTTTTAATATATATATTCATCCCTTTACCATGTATACATATGAACAGGCTGTTTAAACAAACCAGCTTTTTTCCTAGGCAGATATTAATCATTTTCATTCATTCTTTGGTCTTTAAACAGCCCACTTTTTTGTATTCTTTCATCCACCTATCTAAATAACAGAACATTGTTTTCTCTGATTTGCAATCTTTTCTTGTTCTGTTGAAAGTTGTAATTTGCCTGGTGTACTTCCTCATAGAATAAAATCTTCTCCTCTGAAAAGTCTATTGAATCTTTTTCTCAAGGAATTCTCAATCTCATTAGTACCCATGAAGAAAAAGTCCCAAACGTGTTTTCTTGAGAGTTGCAAATTTGCTTGAAACTCATTTCAGTTGCACTGAGCATTCAAACCATCTTAATAATTTAAATTGGTGTCAGGTTTGTATTCTAAAGTTGTAGTTAAGTCCTTTAAATTGTCAGATATTTGTGAAATTGCCTCAGTAGTTTTATAATTTTCTACGCATAAATGCATCTCTTGCTCTTTTTATATATCATCTATATCTTTAGAACCTAATCAGTCTATAAAATGAATAATTTTCTGTAGAGAATTTTCAAAAATCTCCCTAAATATGCTCAAATTTGACCATCTTCTTAGCTCCTTGTAGCTAAGGATATTGTAGCTAAGGTCAAAGGATATTTATTGATTGATTGTCAATCAGAATTCATAAAAATCAGAGAATTTCAGCCACTCACAACAAAGCAATAGGTTATTTAAAAATAATAAAATAAAACAACACCTTTCTATTCTTATGTTTTTCCATCAGAATTAAAAAGAAAAGATACTCCAGCTTCCTTATTTTAGCTTGCCTCCAGCAACTCTCTTCTAACAATAAAAAAAGTCTGAAAAATGCTGCAGAGCCTCTTTTAGCTAATACAAATAATAATTTCATAAATTGGTTAAGAAATGAAAGGCATGACTTATTGATTATTTGAAATATAAATTGCAAAATGGCTGCTTTTCCAATAATGAAGTGATTACAGTCCCACCCCCCCCCCCCAGCTGAAGGGTTCACCAGCTGCTCCAAAGCACAGCTTCTGAAGCTTCTTGCAGAGTGCTGCTTTATGGAGGGTCTTGTGGGGTGATTCGAGGACTCTCCCTCTATACTTTGTCATAAAAACAAAATGAATGCCTGTTCCTTTTGTTAGTAAGTTGAAAAAACAGCAATCCAGAGAGAGAAGCCTTTCTGGGCATATCAACCATTGGCCATGTTCACAGGAAGTCTCCTGATTTGCAATCTTTCAGAGTGTTGCAGTTTTTTCCCAAATCAACCTCTGATTCTTCCATTATTGCCATTCAGTGGAGTATATCACTTAACTATACCCAACTAACAGTGCCATGGAATTATTCTGCATTTTGTGGTATACTAATATGCTGCAGATATGTCCTTTTCATGTCAAATTTACCAGCCATCACTATCTGGTAGTGTGCAAACTCCAATGTAATTCTATTTGGTTATCTGTAGTAGTGTTAGATATTATGAGCATATCTGACATATAAAAATAGCATTTCTTGCTTATTTGCATTTGTTTTCCTAAACCTAACTTACGTTATATATAATATTCATTCTGTAAGCATCCACAAAGATGCAAATACTTTTTTAAAATGAAAAAAAACCCACACAATATTAGCAATTTCAAATCAGATGTCACTATACGAGAGATTAGTTCAAAATTGTGCCTTGAATACCCCACACCTGCAAAAGAGCGAAATAGATTCTTACTTTTCTTCCAGCTGAGTTATTCTTTTTTTATAATACATTAAAGTTGAAGATTCACATGCTAACATTTTTAATTTTCCATGAAGATAAAAGGCATCATGCTGGCCCTTCTTTATTGCTTCTATAAAAGCATCATATTCTTGCTTGATTGTGGTCAAAATGCTTTTGTATGCATTAACATGCTCAATTATCTGTTTTAATAATACAGAAACTGATTACATGTCATCACTGTTTAATAGTGATACAATAAATAAATAATGATACAATAAAAGGAACTGACCTTACTGCAGGTTAAAAGAGTCTTTCTGAATTAAAACAAAAGAAAATTTTAACACACCATCCCATTTCCCATCATTGGTAAATAGTTGCTCCTGGAAAGTTCATTAGCAGGAAATTAATGCAATTATTGTTTCCTCTTATTCCTCAACAACTGCCTACGTATTTCTAAACCCAAAATTTCAAAAATAAATCATAATAAAGTTATATTAGCACTTTCCCTCATCAGACAAAACATCTTAAAACTCATAGAAGAGGATGGAACAACCAGAATGTTAAGAGCAAATCAGCACTTGCAGAAGGCAGGGCAAGATTTGTTTTAAGTGAGAGATTGAAGAAAGAGGAGAGTGTGTCACAGCCTACATTTCTTTTTTATCTTTAAGAGAGATGCCACACTTTTCTAGCTGCTCCTCAAAGTGAGTAAGGTCTAAATACAACAAGAATGCAGCTTGTACCCTGTTTGAGCTACACCACAGAGTCAAGCATGCCAGAAACCGGGCCAGGCAAACAAGCCAAGCCCCATCCACAGGATGCAGGCAGCACACGAAACCACACCCTCTATGGTCTGCGGGAAAACCTCTCTCCATGGAATTGGTCCCTGGTGCCCAAAGGTTTGGGGACCACCACTCTAGATAATTTGCACATCAAGAAAAATAGTACCAGATTGAGACCTAATACAACTAAATGTGAAATAATTTAGTTCAGATTGGTTTTCCAACCATTTTTAGTTTATGGCCTTTTTTAACAGCTTAGGGGAAACAAATCTATAATCCCCCTTCTTTTCATGCATTAGTGGAAAAACAAAACCTTTAAAATGGCCAGTTTGCCAAATGCCTCTTTCATAAGCATATTTATGTAGAACAGCCAGCAAATCCAAATGCCTTGCCTGAGGGCTTGTTTCTCAAAGTAACATATTGTGGTCCAGTATCTATGGTACACTTGGTGGTCTCTGAGTCTATCTGCCATACTTAGAGCAAGGATCGTTCAGAGTGAGATAGGAAGATCAAGAAAGCTGTAGGATGTGTATGCAAGTTCATGTGTTGGGAAGAAAATTGAGTCTGTAACCTCTCACCTCAGATTGGTCATTTTACATCGACAATATTATTAAATTATTATTATTATTAAACAATAATGTTTACTTCTATTTATATAGCTGACCATCTTACAAAATGTGACTCTAGGTCAGTGGTTCTCAACCTGTGGGTCGGGACCCCATTTGGGGTCGAACGACCATTTCACGGGGGTCGCCAAACAAGGCTGTCTGCCATTTTTTTCCCCTTTTCTTTGGCCACGCCCCTGGCACCCGGTGATGTATAAGTGGTTGGGGGTCACCAAAACATGGGGAACTGTATTATGGGGTCGTGGCATTAGAAAGGTTGAGAACCACTGCTCTAGGTGGTATAGAATAAAAAAACTAACAACTTAAACATATTAAGAACATTCTACAATTTAAAAACATCAATCAGCATTACTATTAACAGACTAGCAGAGGATTCAGTGTTATAGGAAATGAAGTCGCCTCACTAGTTCATGCTAAATATTATTATTGTGCACTGATTTCAGCATAATTCAGACAATATACCAAAGCCATAAAAATCACACTCACTGATCATGAAAATTAGAATATCTTTAGAAGTGTTTAGTTACCATTTCAAATACATTTCTGTATATTATGTAATAATCCTCTGCTGGTCCTTGCTCAGTACACCCCACGTTTTCAATCTCTGAAATGATATAACTCTGAATGCTTTCCAGAAATTCCTTGTCAGTCTCTGGGATGATGGGAGGAAGCACTGAGTGTTTACTTGCTCCAACACTAGCTGATTTCATGGTGCAGAAGATACCTAATTTCCGTTACAAATAGCAACTAAGGTGTCAGTCCTTTACTTTGATCAGAAGGCATGCTTCAGTCAAAACCTAAAAATAATGCCACATCAATAAAAGAAATGAACATTTCCAAATCTGAATCTAACAAAGCTGAAAGGACTTTAAACATTTATTTCTAGTATATTAAACATCCATTTTGAAATACTGAGACTGTCATCAACATCAAATATGTTTTTTCAGAGATATAATTATTTTCAGATAAATATCTGTCATCTGTAATACAGAATTGGAATATCTTATACCATAAAATCAATCATTTCAGACTCTAAGAAATGTTTACAATTTAAGATTGGCTTATTCAGAAAGAAATATTCAGGCTTACTGGACTTCTCAGAAGAAGTTAAAAAAGGTTGTCTATTATCAGTCTATTCTGCAGATGTAATAATTACAATTTTACAAAGTTATTACAATAAAATGTAATAACTTTGAAGAAATGTTAAGAGCATAGACTTGCATGTGTCCAGAAATGGTTCCTTATTGTAAGATTTTATTACAATTATAATGGTAATACTATGACAAGCCAGTTGTCCACTGAAGGCCATTCCAGAAGAAAGGCTCTGTCACTGAAAAGCAGGGCTGTCACACCTCGCTCCCACTTACCTCCCTAAAAGGCGGAACTAGTATCAGCTCCTTAGATTGGCAGGGCCAATTCCAATGGCACAATATAATCTTACACACAACTAGGCAATAAACCATATATGGCTTTATAGATTAGTACTAGCATTTTAAATTCCACACCGTAGTGTATTATATAATCAGTAAGAACATGGGGTGCTGCATTCTGAACCAAATGCGGCTTCTGAGAGACCTTCAAGGACAGACCCAAATACTGCAAATTGCAGTAGTCTAAATCAATGGGGAAGAAAGCATCTCTCATGGTAGCAACACCTTCTCACCACAGACAGGGAAAATCACAACTGATTATATAATACACTACTGTATATTTGTTGCCAATAGACTTCTGAGTGGAATTTAAAATGCTAGTGCTAATCTATGAAGGCAGTTCACAGAGTAGGAGAAGTGTGAGTTCTTACTAATGACTGTGTAGTCCTTGTCTAATCACGGTAACTGGAACTATTGCTAAGCAACACAGTCATATGATGTTTTATTTAACAATCACTTCAATTCCAGTTCCAACCACAGTGGTAACCTGAAGCCCATAGTAATAAAGAGAGACTGCTATGGGGGCTGGGTTCATCAGGGAGGTTGCCCAATACTGCCAACAGTAGATCAGACATTCAAAAGATTCACTCGCTAGATTTATTGGGAAATTCCCCAAGTACTCATTGAAAATCCTTTGGAAAGTCTGAGGTTCCTACTGTGGATGTTCAAATATGTCTTACCTAATAGAGATCCTGTATGGCAGTCAGTTGCATCTGGATTACATCTCTGATCATGCAAAAGATTGACAATAACACACTATACATCCAGATCACACAGGCCCAAGATTATCTGAATTAAGCCAATGGTTGCCATGGAGATCCTGAATTCTGGGGTTTGATCCTAATTGGTACACAACATGTGAGGCTGAAATCCTTCAACACCAAAAGGCAGGGGAATCTTTATCACCAGCCCAATAACCAGGACAAGAAGTCAAGGGAGCGTTTCTGCTGGGAGGCAAGTAGCCAGTATAATAACAGGACCTCCAGCCTCAATTTAAACATTCCCACTTCACCACAGCAACCAACCAATGCCACTCCCTCAAGGTTAATGTAAGATGTAATGTAGGTCCTCAGCTGGGCAGATTTTGGATAATAGCATCATGACTTTTGTCTAGCCAGGTCTCAGTAATGCACACCAGATCTGTCTATTCATCCACCAACTCATGACTGGATACAATCTCATTTCAGAGAGACTTGGCATTTACCAGTAGCATGCTAAGATCATATAAGCAAACAGGTACACAATCATTGCCAAATATTTGTGGTCAGTTCTTAGTCTTTGGACTGGCATCATATTGATGGGAGAACAGACAGTATGATCCGATGACATAAGTTTAAACAAGTCAAACAATTTTCTTCTTTAAAAACTGAATTATAACAATGAATATAAATAGTATTTTGATATATGGAACAGTGAAAGTTTCACTTACACTATATTATTGGTAATTTTTGTTATTGTTAATGTCAAAAGTATTTGAGGTATTTTTTAAAAAATACATTTTCTTTAATAAATACGTTTTACTCTTACTAACATTTATTCTGTTGTTTAAAAACTAAATGGAAATTATTTTTTAAAAAACTATTAGAGGATAATCTGGAATCAATTTATCTATTTTACTTCCTATACATCATTTAAACATTTTACACCCTTTGGAAACATTTTTGTAACATCATTTTTGGCTAATAATACTTATGTCTGTGTAGAACTTCAGCATCACAATGAAGGATGCCATCTGCCTTTTCCTAGCAGCCACTAGCTTCTAAGGCAACTATCTCAACTCTTTTTCTCGCTCTCACGAGAGGTCGTTAAGAAAGCGGCCTATTCGTTTCTCTCCCGATGCTGCCTGGGAAGACCCACCTCTTTTATCTAACTAACTTTCCTAGAAGCCAATTGATGGTAACAACAAGGCGGAATTGTTAATCAGGAAGGGAGGGAAAACTTCGGGGGACTGATGGGAAGTGTAGTTTTCCTCCACACTTCCTTTCTCCCTCTTCCGGTCTACTTAACATTCGGCTTAGAATTCTGATGATTCTTCCGCGACTTATCGGCCGTAAACGTTCTCCAATAGGCGCGGCCGTTTAACCAAAACTACTATTCCCATCATGCTTTTCAATAATTTCGAAAGGAAACAAGTACTGGATATTGTAGTCCTACGGTGGCGACGCATGGCCCCTTCTGCCTTGTTTCAAGGCTGGGAAACCCCGTGCTCAGCCGAGCAGCCTCTCTTTGCGGCGTCGGCCATTCTGAGAGCGGGTGGTGGGTGAGCGCTTGGCCTACTTCGAATTTCTTTTTTTTTTTCCCCTTAGGGTTGGCATTGAGCGAAGCCTTGATTTTTCAATGTTTATTCCCCTCTAGGTAGAACCATCACTAGGCGCTCTATCGCCGCCATGCAGATCTTCGTGAAGACCCTAACGGGGAAAACCATTACCCTCGAGGTGAGGAAGGCAGGAGATGTGATGGGTTTCGGCCAGGCTGTTAGGCTGCGGATCTCTAACCGGTGCTCTTTTCTAACCGGTTCCCTTCCCCTTTCTACCTTTCTGTCGCTGTCTTTTGGAGTGGCGATGGGTATTTTGTCGTGGGATTGTTAGATTGGGGAAAAATGGTGCCTCTCTGCAGAATAGAAGGCTCTTCCTCGTGATCGTTGAAACGAGGAAATGAGCGGAGAGAATTGGTATTTTCGTCAATTGAATAATGCTATAAAAAAGTAAATAGGAAGACTATAATTTTTGCAGAGGCTTAAAGGATTAAGACAAAGATGGCATTGGTTGGAAAACTGAAGGTCTATACAGGAAATCCAGAAGATGGAAGTTTACAATGTTCAAATTTCTGCTTTTTTTCATACACAAAAGTCCCGAAATAGTTGCAGATTTGATTTAGTGCTGTTTCTAGTGTGTAGGTAAAAAGCAGTTACAGCAAAGGCAGAAAAAGAAGTTACAACAAAGGTCTCTTAGCAGCATGTTCCCTAGTAGCCAACCCACAAGAAAACATAAGGGCAAACAGTTTCTTTTGTATAATGAAAATTAATTTAATCAAATGAACTTTTGTTCCTTGTGTAATGCTAGAAAAAGCTTTACTTGCTTTTTGCCTGGAGATTAAAAATACTGAAATAACTAAAGCTTTAAAATGGGATAAATTGCTAGCATGGAATATTTTATTTGTGTTATGTTCTCAGCCCTTACTTTTACACCCAATATCCTGTGCTATCCTTATGACTCCCTTATAGGATTTATTTTATGCTATTCCTATTTTATATACTTAATGATATTGATACTGAATCCAAGCCACCCTGAGGAAAACCTCCTTTTGAAGGGCAGCACGTAGTATTTTAAATTACAAAATAAATATTATGAATATACTATTTCTGTAATATTTCCCTGTTTGTTTTATTGCTTTTGCATTTCCTCAACTTTTGTGCATTTGATATGTAATGAATCACGTTAAAGCTTTGTCATTTTGGTAAAAAAAAGAAAAAAAATCTCTTAATTCCAAATATAGGGATACAATTAGGGCTTAAACTGAATTTTAGACATAACGCTTGGTGGAATTGAAGTTATGTCAAAGGCAACAGGTACTACAAGAAGTGCTTTTAAGATGAAACAGTAAAGCATTGTATAGTCTAATAGACCTGTTTAATTTGACCGTATCTTAATAAGCATATAAAGCCAGAATTGAGAAATCAGCAATAGCTGTAAATATTAAAAAAGAAGCTAAAATTCTGTAGAATTCAAACAAACATCTGCAACACAACACCCCACCAAAAACAATTAAGAATTGTTGGTAAGAAAGACAAAAGTCTGGACACTGGACAGTGCCAATACCTGGAGTAGAAGAGAGGGAACTTGATAAAAATCACAAAATGCAAACACCTGCAAATGGAAGTTGAACAATTGTGATGAAAACAATTATAGTACCTCTAGTAATAGGCATCTTGAGTGCAGTTTCAAAAAATGGAATACCATGTGAATGTGAGCATTGATAAAATCACTATTAGTCAATTGCAAAAGGCATTTTTACTTGGAATAGTAAAAAAAAAACCATGAAACATCTGACTGTCCCAGATCATTGTGAAGGAATTAATAGGCAAAACTGCCAAATCCAAACATCTGGCTGACAGTGCAACCAACTATAATATGTGTAATATATATCTACAGCTAGTTTGAGTCTTTAAGTCTTCAAGTGTGTTTAAATTTTTACAACAGGTTGAACCATCTGATACTATAGAAAATGTCAAAGCCAAGATCCAGGATAAAGAAGGTGGGTGTACTATAATTTATTTATGAGATTTGGGAACGGCTTGGGTCCTAAATGACTCTGGGAAGCTTACATCAAGAGGAGAAAATAATAAATGGAAACATAACTAAAACTCTTACATTTGTAAAATTACAATGCATAAACTTTTACGCTGCAATTCTAAATCCAGTTAGGTGTGTGCATGAAATGGAAAAATGTTTTATTTTGAACCCAGAACCAATACATTCCCAAAGTTTTGCTTAGTTGTTTCAGGCTAGCCATAATTCAGTAGAAACAGCCTAAAATACTTTGGTTGTCTGGCTTTAGATAAAAGCCTTACCCTATAGATAAGCTGGGCAAGGCTGATGCAAACTGTTCTCTTTCCTCAGGGGCTGTGTCAGCATGGCATCTTACTGGATTACCTGCTTGCCAGTTTCCCCTCCTTTCTCAGCCATTACTGCCAGTTTAAATTGGCATATCAAGCCTGCCCACCTATTTCCTGATTTTTTCCAGCACCTTCCTTTCCCTCCTTCCCATAGCCACTGCTCTTGTCCCACTGATCTTTCTCCCTAGCACCTTTCCTCCCTTCCCTTATAAACACCCCATGTACATGAAAAGCATATTATTGAGCAACTTTTAACAGTCTGTTGCCTTCCAGCCGTAATAGACTCTGCTTTCATCATCCACTAGCCAGATGGCTAGTTGGGTGATTTCACACATGTAAGAAAGCTTTAGTCTGGGGAACACTAGTCAAGGTAATTATTGAAGACAATACCATTACTTAAAATCTGATAGTAATTATTTTTGTCATTTGAAAAAAAATGAAGTAACTCTATAAATGAATTAAATATGGATTATGTAATTATTACAATAGGAGATATGGCTGGAGAGTTGCTTTTATTCAGATCTCAACCTACAGATCCAGCCATCACTGGTTGAATGGTATTCTTCCAGATGTATGTCACATTTAGTCTGGAGTGTGTTGAAAGTGTAGAGGATTTTTCCATGTATAAAACAGAAAACTGCTTTTTCTTCAATGAACGTTGTGCATGCAGTAATCTTTAACATGTCATGGTTTTAAACTAGCACCTTTTAATATTTTTCAGTTGCTAAATATTTTAAATCTACTTTTGCTAAAAATACGTACCGTATTTTCCGGCGTATAAGACGACTTTCTAACCATGCAAATCTTCTCCAAAGTCGGGGGTCTCTTATACACCCAGTCATCTTATACGCTGGAAAATACCTTATTTTCTGGCGTATAAGACGACTTTCTAACCATGCAAATCTTCTCCAAAGTCGGGGGTCTCTTATACACCCAGTCATCTTATACGCCGGAAAATAACTTATTTTCTGGCGTATAAGACGACTTTCTAACCATGCAAATCTTCTCCAAAGTCGGGGGTCTCTTATACACCCAGTCATCTTATACGCCGGAAAATAACTTATTTTCTGGCGTATAAGACGACTTTCTAACCATGCAAATCTTCTCCAAAGTCGGGGGTCATCTTATACGCCCAGTCGTCTTATATACCGGAAAATACAGTACTCAAGATGGTGAACATACTCAACAAGCCTGTGAGATCCTTGATTAGGGTATTTTTCTGCTTGATTTTTGCCTGGTATTAATCCCTGCTTATCTCTGGGAACTCCACACTCACTAGACTAATGATGTTACCTAGTTTGGTTATGAAATGTCTCCAAGCAAACAACCAAGCTTAGAGAACATTAAGCATTCCATAAAAGCCCATTTAATATGCTTGTATATTTCAAATTTAAAAGATCAATTAAGATAACCAAAAGCTTTATAGTTATTGATAAGTTTCTTAAGAGATATTTGATATATTTACTGTGCTATTTTATAACCTGATAGGATTTGAAACTTATCTGCCCTACACAAAGCAGAACTGAATAGGGTTAAGAAACAATTAAATAAATGAATTACAAAAACAAAAACCTTTACTTTTTTCTCACCAGGGATTCCTCCTGACCAACAGCGTTTAATTTTTGCTGGCAAACAATTGGAGGATGGACGTACTCTGTCTGATTATAACATCCAAAAGGTATTTTAATATTTGAAAAGATATTTAAATGTTTGAAACCTTTCATAATATGCAAAAGAGACCAATGCCAGACATCACCTTCCATCTTCTTCCAGTATCTGTGGCAATAGTTATATATTCTGTGTGAGTAAGTCCTGGTTCTGTTAGCACAATTTGCTCTATTTTGTTTGCCATCAGTTCCACATCCTCATTAGTGATTTATTTAAGCATTACTAAATCCATAAGTTGTAAGTTTGTCTTATTTTAGCAAATAGGTTATTTTTGCAGGAATGAGTTTTGAAAGGCATAATGATGTACTGTGATTACTGTTTTTTCTGCAGTATCTATAGTAGGTAGGCAATGGTTTTTGGTTTCCAGGAGTTTTAACAATTTATGTGCTACCACTTCATTTTCAAGTTATAACAAACACATAGCAGATTTTTTCCATAACAATCTGTCCCTAATCTGATCCTTCAGATCTTCCATGATGCACCAATCACCACTGTTAATTTAAGTCCATCCACTTTACTGCTATTCGTCCTCTTACTTCTTTCCAGCTTTCCAGCCTTTTCCAAAGAGCTGAGTTTTCACATAACGTGTCTGAAGTTTTAGCAGTGGAAGACAAAATTAAATCTTCAAATATTATCTATGACTTTTCTTCAATTATTAAATTATCTCTTGGACAGTATGATTCATAATGCAGTAGGCAAAGGCCAGATTTTGCATTTGGTTCAGTTATATACTTTGGATTTTAATAATAAAAAACAAGATTTCATAACTTCCAAATTTGCCTATTTTACTGGCATTAGCATTTCATTAGGTACTGGTTATGTTGTGCTGATTTTTCAAGTATTTATATGCTATTTTTTCCTTTAAGAAAGGTTAAGATGAGCAAACTCTTTCAGAATAGCTACATAATGAGGTTGGGCTGAATGACTTGACCAAGCTTCATGACTGCATAGAAAACTCTGATTTCCTTGTCTAATTCTGTGCTTATCGCTGCGTCAGAGAAATGTTCCAACCTGGATGTTATTTTTTATCCTTAAAAATCTTGTCTTTAAAAAAACCCAAAACTCAGGAATCGACCCTTCATCTTGTGCTGAGACTTCGTGGTGGGGCAAAGAAAAGAAAGAAGAAGTCTTACACCACTCCTAAGAAGAATAAACATAAGAGAAAGAAGGTGAAACTCGCTGTCCTTAAATACTACAAGGTAAAATCAACTTCACTATTGTGACTTGAATTCAAGGGAAAGAGCTGGTAGTAACAAGTTGCAGATTCTCAGAAAATATTAGATTTGTTTAGCCTGCCTTTTAAAATAAAACTCAAGGTGATATATAATACAATAATTTTATATGTATGTATATGTACGCTTAAGTATATATTTATACATTTTTTAAGAGGGTCAGCTTCATATATTAGTCAAGATAATCAGGCTAGAAATCAGGAGACCATGAGTTCTAATCCCACTTTAGATGTGTAATGTATATTGTGTATTTACTGTCAAACTCAATACTAATTCATACCAATATGAATAATATGATTCAATATAAATTATTGCTGATTGCTTATTTTGCTAGAAAACCAGTTTCTTCCAGCAACAAATGCAACCTGTTTTGTGTATGCAGAACTAGAACTCTTGGAAGCTACTATCAAATTATTAATAAATAGTACTAGTTAAAACCTTTAAATTACATTTGTTTTATACTATTAATAATTTATCCTACAACTTTATTCTAAAACTCTAGATTTACAGCAATATAAAATGCAAAAAATAAAACAATATATTTTCTGTTTGCTGTCTTCCTAGCTTGAGAGCTACATAAGTGAAACTTTTGTCAATATAGGCCAAAATCAAGCATTTGGCAGTTCCTATGCCAGGTTCACAACCAGAGAGGCAGTTTCACAGACACAGGCCCAAACTGGTAGCCCATTCAACTTTGCTTGATAACTAATGCTGGTATGCACATGCATAATCTTGTATTTTATACCAGTTTTCAGCCTGCTGAATTTTGCAGTTTCCATATACTATTAAGGGTAGTTGCATATACAGAATATTGCATTAGTTTAGATATACAGCCTGGGAAAGGTTGTTGCAATTATTGAGAGTTCCAAAATATCTAGTTTCTACTTTTACTCTCAACTTAATCAAGAATGGGTAGCTCTGTTCAACTCTTCTTTCCTTCCTTCCTTTCCATCTTGTAGAGTCCTGAATCTTTCTAAATGCAGTTGCTCAAAACCTTTCATGTTCTAATTATTACAGCTTTATAGATAAGCCTGTTTTTAAAGTAAATGCTGGATTATTTACTGAGGATTGCTTCTTACAGGTGGATGAGAATGGCAAAATCAGCCGCTTACGCCGTGAGTGTCCATCTGAAGAATGTGGGGCCGGAGTGTTCATGGCTAGCCACTTTGATAGACATTATTGTGGCAAGTGCTGTTTGACATACTGCTTCAATAAACCAGAAGACAAGTGAATATGTCTATTGTAATAAAAAACCTTTAAACATTACTGTTTATTTCTCATAATTGCAAAAATGTATAAAGCAGGGATTCTAAATATTTTTAAAGTGTTCCTGTGTTTGTGTTGTAGGAACATGATGTGCTCATAAGGGAAAAACAGTGGGGAGGATATTATGGAAATGTCCTTATTTTGGATAAAGTTATCTGCTAGCTGTAGCTCAGGCAAAGCCATTCTTGAATTTAATGACTCTTCTAATTACTGGATTTTTTAAAAATTATAGAACTAGAACAGTTTTTTCAATAGCTGATGGTTTTTAATGCTACTTTTGTTTTGTCCTTTTAGCATTTTGTTGCCTGTTTTGGTAGTAGTTTTAGTTCCTTTTGCAGAAGTTGTGTTAACAGAAGATTTCTGTACTTTTACCTACTATCATAAATTGCTTATCTTCTATACTACACATTAGGAAAAGGGGGGTTTCTTGCATTTATTATCATACTTTTATACTATCATGGCTGCAAAATTGCATTCCAGAAATATTGAATTACCATTTGTTTATAGTGTTACTGAAATGTGATTATTAATAGTTTTTCCTTATTCATTTCCATGCAATGTTATTGTTATAAAAAAAGCACAATTACCTAAAAATTACCTACAACTCTAATTTTAATATAAAGCTGATCTGCAAAAGCAATTTGCACTCAAAGATGGATAACTACATTGAAATTATAGTGTGAGGAATGACAGCCACCCTCATGTTTCAAACAAGTTCAAAAATGGGTTGGGTGTGGTAGTTTCTGTAATTTAAACATACAAAGGTGCTTGATTCCATAGTTATTGGTTTGAGTACCATAGAAAATGCAGAATTTTGATAGCAAAACACCTCATCTAAACTTTTTAATAATTGTTGAAACAACTGCATTAACAAATGTAATGTGTTGGTTTTCCTTGTAGTGAACATTTAGGTTTTAAAATGTTATTTCATAACACATAAAAATATACATCTCCTGAAATGGCAGACTTTTCCATTTTCTGTAGCCAATTTTACAATGCACGATACTATCCAGAAAATTCTACAGTTTGATACAGAATGAAGGTTCAAGTTTTCTTGCCTTCTATATTTTAGTCAGCTTGATTTAAAATCCTGGGTTCCAAGAAATTGTCTGCTTAACTTCCTTTGTGCTAAAGCAAACAATTTCATCTCCAACTTCAAATTTCAGATTATTATTCAAACTAAGTCCACAATCCATGCCAGTCTTTGCAATTGCGATATCTTCCTTATGATGCTTCAGAGACGATAAGCATCCTAAATAAAACAATGAGTAAAATTTCAGTACATGTAAAGGTGCATAATTTATTAGAAATGTCAGTAAATTGGGAGTTGATTATGCTATAAGGGTGGCTCTTTACATATAGAATTCATACAGAATGGCATAAATTTATACTTTGTCTATGAAGGAAATGAAATCTAGTTAGATATGCACTTTACCCACCTGTCCAAATACATTCTCCATTGCGAATTAATTTAAAGCTCATTTTTTTGTTTAATTGTCCTTTCTGTACTCTACAGCCAGCCACTGGAACTTTATGTTTTCCTACATCAATCTCAAAGGTTGCTAAAACGGCAGCTTCTCCTGAAATAAAGGGAACACGAGAATCATAATGGTTAAAATGTAGACTCTCAAAACCAGCTTAAACCAACAAATCACTTGGCCTCTTGTGCTAAAATCTTCCATTACCCCAATTTTGTACTTTTAGTTGTATCACATAGCAAAATTTTCACTGGTTTACACAATTTGTTTTTTGGTTTTTCAAGGGAAAACTAGAATTATTTAAAAGTCTGGGAACACAGAAACGTATCTGCTGTTAAATTTGCACCACTGAAATGCAGCTTGATTTCTCCACCGTAGGTCTAGAACAGACATGTCAAACACAAGGCCTGAGGGCCGGATACAGCCCACAAGGTGGTATAATGTGGCCCGCGAAGCCATCCTGGAAACAGTGAAGGAACGGCCCCTGTTGCCTTGGCCCTAGCCCAGGCCTGCCGGGAGCCAATGTATAATTTTGTGGTGGCCATCTATGCTGAAACACATTCAGTCTTAGCTCCACAAGGCTGTCTGGAAACAGCGAGGAACCAGCCCCTGCCACATCGGCCCCACCCCCTGGGTGCATGCACCCTTGACGCAAATGATGTAGAGCTGACCATGCCCACCCAGTAGGCTACACCCACCCGGCCCCGCGAGGGCAACCGCAATGCTGATGTGGCCCTCAATGAAATTGAGTTTGACACCCCTGGTCTAGAACAATTGAATTTTTAAAAACAAACATCTGCAACATTGTGATTTATTTCCTTTAGTGCAATAATCAAAAATAACCTTACATTATTTCTTTCATAAATATTTGTACCCTAGCAGTATTCAACCTGTAATAACTGTCCTGATCCTAGAAGGCAGCCTTACCTAAGTGAATTCTACAAGCAGCAGACAAAACTGAAGGCTACCAGCACAGCAAAGTTTATGAAGCCCAGATTTCTGCTCCCTCCCAGTTATCAACTAGATAACTTCTAGAAGCTCACTTCTGTAATATCTGAAGTACCTAGCACATGTTCCTCTTCACCAAAGGGCAAAGTGTTGCTGAGCTCTTCCTGTAAATCCTCCACAAGCCGGTAGATGATATTGTGTATTTTCACCTTTATTTTCTTTTTAGCAGCCATCTGCTGAATAGATTTATGTGCCTTTACATTGAATCCATAGATGATACCTGTCAAATTAACAACAGAACAAATATAAAGTACTGTTACTTCTCTTTTATTAACTTAAGAATGTACCAAGTACCCAAGACAAGGGTGCAACAAAGGTTTTTACCTCCCAAAGCTAAACTTTGAAATCCAGGCAAATTCACTTATGCCTGTTTGTATATTCTTTCAAACTATTTTTAAGAGTGGGAAATACGCTTTGGTTGCTGAAAGATTTACTGACATGTTTGGGTATCCTGAGACTTGGTTCAGACATGGTGTATTGTAATACCAATATGCTTAACTATTTTGTTGAAAAAGGAAGAATTTGCTGGATTGATACGATTTATTCACCCTAGTAAGCCTCAAAGCAGCAAAATTTGAACTTGAGCAGTAAGCCTGTACATCCCGATTGAAAAACTGAATTTATACACTCCCGGATACTGTCACGAATTAATCAGGGCTCATTGTTAAAATAAATTTTGGAAAGTTCAACATCCTAGTTTCAAACAGGTCTTATTTATAACTGACCGGTTTATTTCAAAGTTATTTTCTGATTAATATGTAACCAGCCAGATTTCATGGAAATGAACTAAAACTGCAATAATACTGGCTTTTTAGACAATTACTGAAGTACATAAATTCATCATCCAATGAAGATTAGAACCCTAAATGGTAGAAGTTGAAACTGGTTTTAGAAAAAATCAAGGAATATAATCCTTACTGCTAATGAGTACTGGATAATTAAGAAAGTCAAGGAATACAAACAAAGTATGGGCTTCCTTGACTCAATTGCATTATTATGTCAAAGTATGAGATGTGTATAGGAAAATAGGATCCCAGAATATTTCATAGTTCTCATGCAATACCTACACACAGTAAAGGTCAGGAAGCCAGAGTATAGACAGAATTTAGCAAAACAGGCAAAGGAGTGAGACATATATTCTCCCTTTATTCAACCTAAAGATGGAATACGTATACAAGTAATCCTTGAGTTGCAAATGTAATAGAGCCTGCCAATTACATTCATAACCTGAGGATTTGTTAATTGGATCACGTTAAATGAACGTAATCCCTCCCTGCTTTACCCAATGCATTTACTAATCGAATACACAGGTCGTTAAGTGCACATGAGGTATCTCGGGGTGGGGAAGACCATGGGGGACCCAGTGCTTCTGACCAACCAAGGCCTCTCCCGACAGGTATCTCATGCTTCCTCCCGCCATCCTGCCCCACCGTGTCACTTACCTTTTGAATATCTCAATGATCAAATGAGCTGTCTCCTCTCCAGGCTCTCTGCTGCAGTTTCTTTGCCAGCTCCCAGTGCTCCAAAAGCTGAGCTGTGAGAACAGACAGCATGGGAGGAGCCCAGCCTGCTCAACTTGGTTGACTCACCAAGGCTGCCTGTGCAGGATACCTGACCTGCTTTTGGACTGCTGGGCAAAAGGAGTGCAAACCATACCCCTAAAGATTTCTCCGCACCAAAAGTTTTTGAAAAGGGATGGAAAGCTTAGAGAGAGCGATTTCTTGCTGCTTGAAGCCTTCCATCCCTTTGCAAAAGCTTTTGGTGCAGAGAACAGAAGCCTTTGGGGTATGGTCTCGCGCTCCTTCAGACTCACTGAGGCTGCCCGGTGCTCCAAAAGTGGATCAGGTGTCCATCACAGGCAGCCTCGGTGAGTTAACCAAGCTGAGCAAGGTGTGCTTGTCCAGGTCTGCTTCTGCTCTCACACTCTGCTTTTGGAGCACCAGGAGCAGGCAAAGAAACCACGCTGCCATACAAACCCTGCAGCAAAGAGGCTGGAGAGGAGACAGCTCTCTTGAGGAGAGAAGAGCGGTAAGCCTGTTCTGGAAGTCTGGATCTTTAAAAGGTAAGTGAGCGAGTGATCAGCAATGGGATGGGGAGGAGCCGGTGGGCTAGCATAGCAGGGTCAATGCCTGTTAGGCCCCTGGGAGTGGTGGTAGGTAAGAATAGGCAGGAGGAATGTTGCAGTATCTCTGCAGTCGGTCATAAGGGTGATCAACTGCCGTGCTGCTGCAACATTAATAATTTTGGAATTGTTCAAGTACTTTGGGAGGGGAGGTGTCATAACTTTGAATCATCGCTAAATGAACTGTCGTAATTTGAGGACTACCTGTACAGAGATTGGGGAAGCTGGATTGGAAGAGGAATTTAGTTTAAAGATAGAGGAATAAATAAAATCATGTCTGCTATGCTGTTAACACTAGTCTGATAATTGAAAACTCAGAGCACTGGAAACATTAGTAATTATAAGCAGTACAGTAAAAAGTGGGACTAAGATTAAATATAAGGCTAAACTAATGACAGCAGTTATAGCAAGCAGCTTTACAAATGACAATGAACTTATTGAAATGGTGGATAAATTTTGCCTTTTATGATCAAGGACCACAATTAAGAAATATGCTTCGGTTAACACTTTGTACTGTAGCCATGAACGCCTTAAAAAAAATATTCAGATACTGGAATGTTTCTATATCTACAAAAATTATAATAATATAAGCTGTGATATTCCTTGTGGCACTGAAAACTCAACTTTGAAAAAGCAAGACAGAGTACTGATATTTTTAAACTTTGGTTTTGAAGAAGGCTTCTGGAAATATTATGGATGGCCGAGAAAAAAGAACAAATGGATATAAAACAACCCAGAGTTCTTGTTTGAGGCACAAATAATTAGGTTCAATTTATCCTACTTTGGACATGTTATGCAAGATCTAACCCTCTGGAAAAGTCTAGAATGTTGGGATCGGTGGACAGAAAGCGAGGAAGAAGACAAACTCTGACAAAGTAGATTGCCTTAATTAGAGAAGTGCTATACAAACCACTGGAAGATATGAAAGAACAGGTTAGGAACAATATTCCTGCAGATAATCTATGTGGTCACTAAGAGTCACCACTGACTTGATGGCACCTAATCTATCTATCAATCAATCTACATTGTCCATTGTTCATTTGTTTCTTTAGGTACATTTTTTGTTAAACTGTGCCATAATGTTAAGTGTGAGGATTATATATTCTTTCCAGCTTACTTTCACAGTCCTTATAGTTAGACATTTTGCTTTATTTGTATAATGAATTTACAAATTATGAAGTTGCAAAAAATACACAAAATTTTGAGGAAAGCCAATTTCAAAAGTGATATTAAACAAATTTCTTTTCCACCATCATAGACATTTGTTGTTGTTGTTGTTAATTGCGAAGTCGTGTCCGACCCATCGCGACCCCATGGACAATGTTCCTCCAGGTCTTCCTGTCCTCTACCATTTTCTGGAGTCCATTTAAGTTCACACCTATTGCTTCAGTGACTCCATCCAGCCATCTCATTCTCTTGTCGTCTCCTTCTTCTATTACCCTCAATCTTTCCCAGCATTAGGCCCTTCTCCAATGAGTCCTTCCTTCTCATTAGGTGGCCAAAGTATTTGAGTTTCAACTTCAGGATCTGGCCTTCTAAAGAGCAGTCGGGGTTGATCTCTTCTAGGACTGACCGGTTTGAATGCCTTGCAGTCCAAGGGACTCACAGGAGTCTTCTCATGAATAGCTTATCCTACACTCAGAAATTCATATGGAGCATTGATTCGGTTTCCTGAAAAGGAGCCTTGTATACAACCCTATAAGTAACATCAGATGCGTACATAACTGCAATCAAGCTGACACTAAATTTTAAGGGGTGAAGGAGTAGGAAAGTGCACATAGTAACTGCAAGCCACTCTATGGATTTATGACTGATTACCTAATTTATTTAAAGCAGAGACATCACCCTGCCAACAAAAGTATGTATAATCAAGGCCATGGTTTTCCCAGTTGCAATGTATGGCTGTGAAAGTTGGACCATAAGAAAGGCTGAGCGCCAAAGAATTGAGGCCTTTGAACTATGGAGAAGACTCCTGCTAATCCCTTGGACTGCAAGGTGTCCAAACCGGTCAGTCTTAGAAGAGCTCAACCCCAACTGCTCTTTAGAAGGCCAGTTGCTGAAGTTGAAACTCAAATACTTTCGTCACCTAATGAGAAGGAAGGACTCACTGGAGAAGAGCCTAATGCTGGGAAATATTGAGGGCAATAGAAGAATGGGACGACAGAGAATGAGGTGGCTGGATGGAGTCACTGAAGCAGTAGGTGTGAGCTTAAATGGACACCAGAAGATGGTAGAGGACAGGAAGGCCTGGAGGAACAGTGTCCATGGAGTCACGATGGGTCGGACACGACTTCGCAACTAACAACAACCTAATTTAATTAATTAAACTAAAGAACAAACCATTAGTTCTAATTATTTCAACAAATAAATTGATAACCTCAGATCACAACTCCTTACCTTGGAATGATTCTGCTAGTTTTATATCATTTTCACTAATATCCCCAATCCCACAATGAATCACATCTAATACACATTCTTCGTCAGCATCATAGGTTTTCAGAATATTCAAAATGGTTTCTACAGAGCCATCGACATCACCTTGGTGAAACAAGAAACTTAGTTAATTTCAGTGGAAAGAAGAAAAATCATACTCAAGCAAGTCACATAACATAGGAACTTTATACTATTGTATTGGGAAAGTGTGTTTATAAATTTAATGTGGTGGGATTCAGCAACAAAGGCTTTTAATTCTGATCCAATTATAGAAATACTTCCCAGAAGCTGCTTTTAATGTTGTGTTAAATTTGTGATTGAAAGTCCATAGTCTGGACTCCTTCAGTGGGCCTAGAGACGAATGCTGGGGTTTAGGTTTAAAAACTCAAACAGGAGTGTAGAGCAGAGCACAAAAATAAGCAACAGAAAAATGATTATACCTTTGATAATGAGAGGCAACATGTTTTTGTCACTCTGAATATCTTTTTCAGATTGCCTAGTCATGGACTCCTTTTGGCTCTTCTTTATTACATATACTCTCTCTCTCCAGCTCAAGTTCATGAGACCCTCTCGCTTCTTCCTGTAGTCTTCGTTATAAGCCTTTTGCTTCTCTTCTATAATTTCTTGATCTTTCTTTATTTTTTCCTGCTTTTTCACATAGATTCTCCATTCAACAACTTCACGTGCCCTTTGCTTGGCAGAACAAAATTAATTAACCAGTCAATTTACCAACATAACTTGTCCTCTATCATTGCTGTTGCATAGTGTGCTCATGGCTCCCAGCCCTGAGTGCTCTTAGGATTGCCAGGGCCATCAGATTCCTTCCAATGTATATTCCGCATTGTGTGATTGCTTACTCTTTTGTAATTCCTTCCTCTACAATCTCTCTGCTCTAAAAGGAGGGAGCAAAAATCAAGTGAAGCACAGGACAACCCATACTGACTATAATGGTGATCACATGACTGAGTGATGCTTCAAAAGTCACAAAAGTAGGCATTGGTCATAAAGTTTCTTTTTCAGCACTGTGGTAACTTCAAACAATTGCTGAACAAAGCAGTCAGTAAGCAAGGTCTACCTGTACTCCAAAGTATCAAATTCTCATAAAAGTGTAAAAGTACATTTTATTTTTCTACCATTTGAATAACATCCAAATATGCCTGACCATCTTCGGCACTGGAAAAATGACTTTTGTATAATTCAATATTTTATATAGAACTTAGAATTTCTGTATTATAATTTATGCACATAAATGTCTATATTGTAATTTATGCATCTTTTTCCATAGAGGCATGCTATTAGCTTATCCCCCCAAACAATTTAAATACATCCCTAGACTATCCTCAAATTAGTTGACTCTCTTTTAATTTGAAAAAAATCCACTTTATTTATTTATCAAATTTATATTACCACCCATCTCATGGAAAGTGACTCTGAGCGGCATACTATACAACAATGAAAAAACATCAACAACAATAACATTAAAATGTCATTTCCCCCTAGTAGGGATTTTTTTTTATCCAAACCAAGACATAACTACTGGTGAATAATCATAAATTAAAACTGAACCAATCTTATATTTCTCAACTAAATGAATCATCAACAGAGGTATTAAAATATTGGCCCAGTTTTAAGCAAATGCCACCTGGAGTAGATAAAAGGCTTTCCTACTTGAATTAAACTATTTCCATATGTTGAAAAAACATGTTCCTTATTTTATTTCTGCAGAACTTTTTCTGGTGCATCTTGGATGAAACTTTGGCTAAACACTGAATAAAGACAATTTTAGGAACATTATATTTGAATACTAAAACAAAAAATGTTTTTACCTCAGATTCAACTTCAAGGATTTCTTCTCCTGCTGCTGGGACCTCCTTCCACCCCACAATCTCTGTGGGCACACCAGGGGAAGCATTTTCCATTGTTTTGCCATTTTCATCAAGCATCAGTCGCACTTTGGCCCAGGTTTCTCCAGCAACCAAAATACAACCCTTTCTCAGAGTGCCTCTTTGGATAATGGCAGTGGTTACTGGACTGGGGTCAGATGGAAGGCAAATAAAAAGGAAAATGGCATTTGATTTGATATTCACAATTAATGGTATGTTTTAATGTGTAAGCCTCTTTATAGAGCTTTATACTATAATACATCTGTATTTTTTTTTCAGTTTAAAATCTACTTTGACACATAAAACAGATCAGAATAATATATTTGTTGTTTTTTTTTCACCCAAATTATCTTTAGAAACATTTTGCTAATATGTTTACATGGAGATAAGGACTAGGCCAAGGTTCTTAGGCAAATGCATTTCATTGATTCTCTCTGATTCTTATTCCATCCTGAATCCTATAAGCACTCGGGACTTGGGGATTCTTTTTCAAAATGGCTGTCAGAGAAAAGCTTGTTCTCCATAAAATGGTCACTAGGATGATTTTAGGATTTTGGAATCACCAAATGCTTTTACAAGTAAATTTGTGAAAAATGCTTTTTGTTACCTTTTCTAGCCCCATCCACTCACCTTATTTTTAGCTTAACTTTTTTTGGGGGGTGGGTGGGTGGGGAGAAGAGGTTGATACTTTTCCAAAGTGTTGGGCTGCAATTATTCTATGAATGCCTGGGCAGTTCAAAGACCTTGGCAATTAATATGATGTTGAATTCTGATCCTTTGCTTTGCTGCAGGCTGTCTTTCCATTCACTGTTTTCATTAATGTGTCTCCCTACCCCCAATCCAGGTGTAGCAAGAAGCCCAGTGTGTGCTATAGATGGAATCTATGGGAATTGATCACAATAGCTTTTCAATAAGGCAAATTTCACACTAATACATTATTGGAATGCTATGGGAGAGTTAAATCCAAGGAAACAGGTTTTCTAGAAGAAATCTCTTCTATGTAAAATTACATGCTTTAAATAAAAAAAGTTTAATTTTATTTACAAAAGGACTGTTTTTAAATTTTAGTTTACTATGCATTGTTATTTAATTGCACTACTGGAAATTTTAGAGGAACTCCCAGCCAAGAATGAAATGGAATGAAAGATGCATGCTCACCCTTTTCCTTTATCTGTGCGAGACTCTATTATAATACCTTCCACGAGACCTGTGCTATCTGCCTTCAGTTCCATTACCTCAGCAAGAGTTACAATTGCCTCTTTTAAGTTCATCAGGTTATGGCTCTAGGTCAGAAAAGTCAAAAGTAATTCAGAAAAGGTAGGATTTATTGGTCATTCTAAGTAATTCAGTATGCATGGAAGATTTACTGAAGATCCATTGACTTAAAATCTAGGATACACTGGTGGCTGAGTACACCCTCTTTCATCACATCTTTCAAGATCAATATCTAGGAATAAATAGCAGAATAAAGTATCTTTTCCTCATTAGGAAGTTTTCCTGCTCAGTTCTGAGAAAGGACTGCTTTTCTGAAGGATCTTCTCTCCTAAAAACTCTGCCCAATGTTGTGTCATGTGACCTTGGAAAAATCAAATACTGCAAATAAACAATGTGATACAGATTTAGCTTAGGGATGGCAATGAAATTGATTTGCATTACCTTTAACGCAGAGATAGGAACAGCCTGAACATCTCCTCCATAGTCTTCACAAACAATATTGTGAGCCAGCAGTTGTTTCTTTATTTTTTCAGGATCAGCTTCAGCTTTGTCACACTTATTGATGGCAACGATGATTGGAACTGAGAGAGGAAAAAATGAGAAAGGACAAGTTTTACATACATATGTAATTTGTTCCAGATGAATAACAACTCATCAAATAGTAAGATACTTAGTAACAGTAATATGTCAACAGTAGTATTTATCTCCTCCCTCAACTCCCCAAAGAAGAACAAAATCCATGAATACCGTTAGCATTTTTAGCATGTTGAATGGATTCCATAGTTTGCTCCATCACACCATCATCGGCAGCTATCACCAGTACAACAATATCAGTGATATGTGTACCTCTTGCCCTCATGGCTGAAAAGGCAGCATGGCCAGGAGTATCCAAGAATGTTACCTTCTCCCCAGAAGGCAACTGCACTGCAAAAACAAATGGAAACATATACAGTATATTCTGTATTTAATACTTCTCACATCATTTTCACAGAACACACTGAACAACTGCTTCCATGAGATTTGCAACAATTCCTCATATAAGTAAAACTCTAAACAGAGAAATTGCCTAAAATTGATGGTCACTTTTCTATAGTCCATATTCAGCTATTAATTCTTTTGGCAAAACAATGCTTTACTTGGGGCTTTACTTCTGATACTTGAAGTTTATCTTCAGTTCTCTGTTATATGCTACCTTTTGCCGAAGTGGCATCCCCCAGTTATGTTGGACAACAATTTTCTCAATAAGCAAGGTTGAAAATGATAGGTGTCCAATGCACCTCTCTAAGTCTTAAGTCCAAAACAGGACTTAGAGAGGCTCCTGCTCTATAATCTATAATTGGTTCAGCAATGAAACTAATTAGGATGTAAGGACCCACCCCACTTTGCATCTTAAGAAGACAGAACTCTTGGAATAATTCTTCCAACAGGCATCCTTTATTAAGAGAAAATGGTTGCAGGCGTTCTAGACAGGACTTGGGGTCCAAGCTCTCCCATTCAAGGTTTTAAGGGGTTTCTCAGTAGCCCCACCCAATCACCCCCTACTTCCAGCAACAGTCTCAGGCATTACATTCCCACCCCCTTTTCCTTACTGCCGGCTGGATGGAGACTTCAGAGAAAACTACATGAAAGGTAATAGCCCCCTTTGTTATGATTAGGCCTTTTGGTGCTATCCACATTCAGTCCCTTTGAAGTATACTGAAGTGAGAGCCATAAAGCCCCTTTGTTCACCCCCTTCCCTTCATCATATGACAGAATCCAGGGAAGGCAGAAGTGGGGTTTTCTTTAGTTGATAACTAGAGATGAAATATAATTGGATTCTGACATCGGTTCTGTTTTTGACATCAGAAAATAGACAAGATAACATGTATTTAGTTGCTGTTGAGACCAGACTGAGAAAGTTTGAACGACTTAGCTAAGACTTGAAACTTGAGTTCTTGAGGCAACTTTACTCCAAGGGCAGGAGAGATGACTTTTGTCAGATTTCACACCTAGAGTTGGCAGTAAACCTCCATGTAGTTAAGCCTGAATTTAGCTCTAAGTTGAAACTGGCAAAAGGCACCCAGGCATGACAATTGAATTAGACTGTACTGCACACAGGAATAGAAATACAAACTTCTTACACAACAGCTGATTGCACAACAAAGAATTCAGAGTCTTTATATATGAATATTTGCTATGAATTTATGAGTTGGCCTTCAGCAAGAACTACATTGTCATAATAGCAATAGCACTTAGACTTATATACCACTTCACAGTGTTTTACAGCCTTCTCTAAGCGGTTTACAGAGTCAGCATATTGCCCCCAACAATCTGAATCCTCGTTTTACTGACCTTGGAAGGATAGAAGGCTGAATTAACCTTGAGCTGGTGAGTATCGAACCCCTGGCAGTAGCAGAATTAGTCTGCAACACTGCATTACAACCACTGTGCCACCACAGCTCTTATCTTTTGTTATCAAAATTGTATTATCATTTTATGGTAATACAATTTTGATATAATAATGACTATTGCAGATGAAAAGTTGACAACATTATAAAGTACAATCCAGATGTACTGATTTAAAATATTTAGGTTATTTTTAGATTCACAAGATAAAATCAATGCAGCAGTAATGTTTATCTACTTGACATGATCAATGAGAAATAATGGGAGAGGAAGTCCCCCATCATTTAGAAAGCAACAGAATTTCTACCCCTCACCCAAAAACAAGAATAAAATAAATCATACCAAGAAAGGCACCAATATGCTGTGTTATATTTCCTACTTCCATTGCTGCCACATTAGTATTTCGCAGGCTATCAAGTAATGTAGTTTTTCCATGATCAACATGGCCCAATACAGTAATAATTGGAGGTCTGGGGGTTAATAAAGCTGCATTTTGAAGAGGCCTGTAACCAATAGTAACACATTCAATTTTAAATGAAATAAGCCCTTTTTATCTTTTGTATTCTACATTTAACAAAGCTCTTAAAATTCCTGATCTCTGTATTTCAATTTTTTGTAACAACCAACAGCTTGGAACTAGAGTGTACTCTTTCTATATAAGAAGAAACATGTTTTCATGGTTAAATTATAAATAGGGAACCTGTGAAGGTTTGGCCTCCTAACCTTTCAGTGAACAATACGTTGTATTGCCAACAAGAAGGAAAACTGAAAATTTTGGGTATTTTTGGAGTGTTTGAAAAGAGCACTTTAACGGATAACTTCTAGATAAATTTTGGAAAGCAAACTCTCACCCCCAATTGCACTATCCATGAAAAATGGTCAGAGAATGCTGCCTTTTTGTCACCAGAGGTTTGAGCTGCACTTTCAGGATACTGGGAAACCCTCATGAGGGTTGCAATTTATTTATATAAAACCGTTAACTGCAAACAGAATTGTTGTAATGAGTTCTATTTAAACTCAGGAATAGAATTCAGAAGTTGTACATGAGCAAATTAAGCCATTGAACCATAACTCTCTGCAGTATCACCACTGGAAGTGGTTCTCCAGGAATTCAGGGAAATCTGTGTCATATAAGACCTTTTGCAAGGAAAGAAGGTGTTTTACCACTTCTCCAATGAGCAACTTGTTTTGTTGCCGACAGCAAGTTATAGTAGTTTCTACAGGATCAATCAGTTCTTAACACCTAAATAAATTAGCATGTTTTATAAAATCATCAGTTCAAAGTTCAAACTTTGTGAAAATAAAATGATTTTCTTTCATAGTTCATCTTCTTTCAGCATTTCTCAGGCGGTAGGGAAACAGAGCCACATTGGTCTAGAAATTAAAAGTATCAAATTAGAAACTGGGAGACTCTCAATTCTAGTCCCTCCTTAGGTGTGAAAACCAGCTAGTGATTTTAGGCCAGTTATTCTCTCTCAGCCCAACCCACCTCACAGGGTTGTTGTTGTGGACAAAATAGGAGGAGGAAGGTGTGTTGGATATGTCCGCCATCTTGAATTATTTGTAAAAATAATAAAGGTGGATATAAACAAATTGATTCATACATACATACATATTATCTATAGCTGCTTTAAAGATTACTATAAAATATATTAAGTATGTGAAATACTGAAAAGGTTATATGAATTCTTTTATTTCATATCAACATGCAATAAAATGTTTAATATTAGTAGAAGTCAGAAAAATTCTTTTAGGCATTGACGTACTTTGGGTTCCTATTTTCCTTCTCTCTAAACAGAAGTAGCTTCATTTTGCATACAAATAAAAAGCAGAAAAAGTGCATGCAAAATACAGGGATAATTAGTTTTTTATAACTGCTTGGGAAAATGTTTGGCAAAATCCTGACTGAAATATTTTAAAGGTGATATGAACAATATTCAGATGTTATGCAGTTTATTTGTACATTTATGATTTTTGGCAGGCCACTAAAAATATATGAACGTGAGAAAATATGTTTAGAGCACATTTGTGTATTTAGAGAAACATTCTGATAAAGTAAATCAGCTTTACGTAAACATGAGATTGAAGTTTGGTTACCAAATAAAGTAAGAACAATATATAAAGGAGTAACACATTTGAAAATAAATGGAATACTTAACATTCAACAATGAGCAAAAATGTGTGTTGTCCTATGGTTATTTCATGTGCTTATGGATAAATATATATGGAATGGCTGTGGTGATATTAAATATGTTGTTCAGATAAAATATTACACAGATAGTATAAATATGGATCTGAAACATGAATGCATTAACAAGGAAAGCTGAGTGAACAATGCAAGTTATATATAAATGGCAAAAAGGAGGAATAAGTAGATGCATTTATCTAGTGTGATACAATGTTTACTGAAGATGGGGATATGGATGGAGAAATTTTAAGATAGCAGAAAGGTTGTAGTAGTATTATGGTCTGATGAAGGGAAAGAATGTTTCCTAAAGAAGTTTAAATGGCTTCATATAAGTGTGTTTGCTTTGCTGTTATATAGAAACAACAATTAGGTATGTTGGAGATACATAAAAAGTTAAATGCAGTGGGAATGGAGTGAAAAATGGATATGGAATTAAAGTGGATTGAATACAAAAGTGAGTGATCAATGTAAAAGAAACACATTGGAGGTGAAATTGTAAAACAAATACATGAAATAGAAATGGATGGGATGAGAAGATGGAGTTGATAACATAGCTAAAAGGATGCAAGTCCCATGCAAGATAATTAAATACTGAACATACTTTCACAGTGAACATTAGTATAATTCAAATAAATATACATTAGAAATATTATTTGTTACTAATTACATGTTCCCATCAATATTTTCATGATTTACTTTTATCTGAAAATTAAATTGTGGCTTTGAGAAAAACAGTACCCTGCACATGCTTCCTAGTGATAGGCTATGTGGAATAGAATGCTGCCTTTAAAGGGTTTAATTGTATTATAGATCATAGCTTGCACAGGAGTATGTCTAGATAAAACTGGACTTTAGGCATTGATTGATGGTAACAAAACTCAGTCTTCATGGGCCCATCATTTTCTGCACTTGACATACAATGGGTCACATATATTAATATAATACATATATTATACAAGTTATGCTTAAACCCAGTAATAAAAAAAATCACTTAAGCATAGATGTTACCTTCTCACCACATCTTTATTTTCTTTTTCTTTTTCTACTTTCAGTTCAGCCCATTTGTACTGCATGCCAGATTTTTTAATGATGTCTTTGATCCAATTTACTTCCAAGACTGAATCTGGTTCTAGTGAATCTAAATCTATGTCTGTGTTCAGCAGAGCTTCATATACATGATCTGAGTATAAAAACATAACAGTCATTGAGGAATGATCCAACCAAGAAAGAGGTCTGTGATATAGCAGCACTAATTGGAGAAAATGATTGTCATGTAATTTCCAGTGTCAAGTTCTCAAATACTTCGATCCTTTGTCAGATTTCAATGCTGTTATCATTATCATATATTTAAAATATATTTTATGCAATGAAAAAAGACTAAAGGGAGTCAACTGAAGAACTAGAATAAATTGTATACTAAATTCTGTGCATGAGCACAGTCTCAGATAGCATACTAGGCCAGATCCGTTTATCAGGCAGTAATTCACAAGATATGAGCGATAAATACAAAAAGGAAATGAAGGGGCTGTGGTTAATCTGAATTATGTGTATTTGTACACAAAAATCAGACACTACGATCTGGACGAAAGAAGAAATCAGAGATTTTTCTAAAATTGTGGACTGCCAGTGTTCTATGGTCTTTTTGTGTAGTATATGCCCCTGCCTTTTAAATTATATATGTGGGATTCAAAAATGAAGCTGCAACACAAGGATATTAATCAGTTGAAAGGAAGATCAGGAATTGCTCCTTTTGTAATTTCCATGCATTTTTTGAAGGAACCGGCTCACCTATATCCTTATGCATCACTTTTGCAAGTTCCTCCACAGTCATTTGGCGCCTTATCTCAATCTCTTGTTTCTTTGCTTTCATCTGTACAGGTTTCAGTTTCACTTTGCCCAATTTCTCTCTCTATAACAGAGATTAAGAACAATATATTTAGTCACTGGGTTAACTCATTTTCTGAGTTTCCACAATACACTTAGTCTTAAGCAAAATGGCTGGATTCTCATGAATCTCATGAGCTTCACGAATCTGGATTCTCATCAATTTTCTGGCCCCTGAAATTCACTCTAAATATGACTACAAAAAATGGCATAATTTCCTGTGATTCTGGTGTATGGAACAAATGAAATTTGTAATGTAAGTTCTAAATAGGCATATAAAAGCATATCCCCTACTCCTGAGGGAAAAGCTCTGTAAGCATATGTGATGTGCTTTGTCAACCACATTTCAACCTTTTGTCTCTCTCAAATACTAAGGTTGCTTGTCTGGGTTTCTGACAATGAAGTTGTGCTAATTCCTCTTTTTCTCCAATTGTTAATTTATTACCAAAGCTGACTGAAGCTTGAAAAAATGATTCCCAATTAAAACTTCTAGGGAAGCCCACATATTCTCCTAGGCAGTTGACACACGTTCACTGAATAGAACACAAATGTTTGAAAAGGGCACAGCATCAAGTGAACTCAGAATTCTTCCTCTTAATTACAATTCAAAACATTTACAAAAAGTAAATAATGGAATCAATTGGTTGTTCTGCACTGATGCATTTTGGACAGGTTGCTCTTTCTTTTCAAGGCCAACTGGACAAAAAGCATGCATGCAATTGTTTGGAAAGTTTACAATATTTATATTTACCTCTACTGCATCCCTCTATAAACAACATTGTCTTTTATTTCTTAGCTAGTGACACACAAAAATCCTTCAGAGTAAGAATAAAATAACTATTAATTACCTCCTTGGTGGTGAAAAGCCTGAATTGTGAGGTGGTGTCTGGATGCCAGAGCAGCGGGTACAGCTGAATGGGGCACATAGGATAGGCAGAGGACAGGACAAACTTCCACTGTTTTCGGTAAGCTAGGGAATGCAGCTGCCTGCAAGCACTATATAAATGGGTCAGATTCTCTAGCGGTGGCATCCAGTTCATGTTTCTCTCTATAACCAAGAAAAAAATAGAGCTTGAATGAAACATCTTTCAAGTGGATAGTCCAAAAAAGAGGTACCCCTGAAGCAAAAGAGGATGGAGCTGCTGTAACTTCCTTCCACAATGATTTGGAAGAGAGAATGATGGTATTACTATACATATACATATACACATACATGTATATGTATATATTAGAAATTGTTTAATGACATTTAATCTTAATAATCTTAACTAAAATTTAAGGAGTGAGTTTATAAAATGGAGTAACTTAGGCTTTCAACTTTAGGGGCTTTGGCACATGCAAGATAAGCTGATGTGGTTTATGTAAGTAAGTTAACAGAACATAACTGCAAGCAGAGGAAACACAAAAATAAAGATAGAGCTTATGCTAAGCTAAAGGTCATGGTTAAACGGTTAAATGATGCAGGTACAACAGGTGCAAGAAGCCTTTTTCCTGGAGGGTATGAACAAAATTTATTATATATAGGCGCTTCGGATTAGCTTATCGGGTGGGGGAGTAGGTGGGCTTGAGTGTGATAGGGGTGGGGGAAAACCAGCATAGTGAAAAGGGTATAAAAATGTGATTTTAACAATTATTGTTGTGGCTTGATCTCCTGTGAGAGACTAAGACTTCTAACTTTTGCAAAAGTTTTAATCTCGATAAAACTTTGTTCCTGGAATCCCAAGTGAGTATTTGAATTTATTTATTTTTAAAATTCTGAGCCAAAAACGCTCCAAACACTAATCATAAAATTAAGACTATCAGTAGCTGATAGCAAAGTATTCAAATCTGTATCCTGTTGCTGCCATTTTGTGGCGATCAGAATTTTTGCAGCCTCTATCTAGTGTGGGTCTACATAAAACAATAAACTGTCAGATCTGGAATCTAGCACTTAACAAAGAAGGGATATGCCTATAAACTGCTGTGGTTCGTAAAACACATCCCCTAAAAAGATGCCACTCAGGAGTATCAGCTTAGGAGAGCTGGCCCCTTACGCCAAAATTACTACTATTTTTCCTCTTTTGGAAAAAAGAGGAACAAAGCTAACCTTCTGGAGAAGGGAAGCAAGCAATATTAGAGAAAGAGAAGAAGCGTAGGCGCAGCTCTGAAAGAAACCACTCTTCAGATATCCAGATGCTGAAATAACAGACAACGCCAGGCCTTCACTGTGGTCTTTTTTTAAAAAAAAAAAAAAATCTCACCTTCTGCTTCTTTAAGCGTTTTACTAACACCCAGCCGGAAGATGGCGCACGCCCGTCAACTAGCCATTCCTCTGCTTCCAGCCATGTGAACGCGCCTCCTCCTTGCAACAAGGGCCACAAGCATAGTGCTAATATCCGCTACTAACTTTTATCGTCCCGCTATTCTTCCGTGACCTCCTCGGCTACCTGCTTTTCTGGAAGAATCCGTTCAGCAAAAATAAAAAATATAGGAGCAATGCGAAAAAAAGGGAGGGGCCAAGGAAACAAAAAACGCCAAACCCACCCAGCCCAGGCAATTGAGCATGCGGAGTTTTCATGCACGCTCAGTATTAATTCCCAAAGCCACAAGAGTTTCACTTGCCCTCCGTTCAGGTAAGGGCAAAAACTGGCAGGCCGTTCAGGTAGTTCAGTGGTTCTCAACCTGTGGGTCGGGACCCCATTTGGGGTCGAACGACTATTTCACAGGGGTCGCCAAACAATGCAGTCCACCATTTTTTTCCCCTTTTCCTTAGCTGTGCTACTCCCTTTTATTCTATTGGCTTTTGAAAGCCAATAGAATAGACTCTCTTGAATAGAGTCTAATTCTATTGGCTTTCAAAAGCCAATAGGAATTGTCCAGGCTGTCTCTGCCCTGCTGAGCCCACCAAAAATCCCATTCTGCAAACGGTGCTGCACCAGTTGAGTAGTCCTCGACTTACAACCGGTTGGGGGTCGCGGCATTAAAAAGGTTGAGAACCACTGACGTAGTTTAAAGTGACCCTTTTACCAGTGGAAAGATATAAATTAGGATACTCCCCAATGAAAAACTCTTCAAAGAAACTTCTGAATGTAGGCTTAAGTGGGATAAATAGTGAAAATGCCCTTTTGTTTCGAGGTTGATTCCCGATGGCAACATGTGCATTTAGGGACCTGTGAGTTCTTCAGTTTAAAGCAGCTTCATTATTTCTTTACTCAACAAATTAATATTTAACTACTATGTTTACATATTTACAGACTAGTATTTCTTCCACAATATTAGAGTGGGTGAGTTTGGTGTTTGGAGGGTGAAGAGTTGCATCTTTTAAAGTCATAAATTGCATTAACAGATGTCTTTTACATATATTTCTATTTAAAATTTGGCCTAGCAGGGCACTTATTGTTAGAACTTAGATTGTTAGCCTGATCTGCCACAAGAAGTAATGACTTAAAACATTTGCCAAAAATCGTATATTTTCTTGGATATTATAAAGTATTGGTTCTAGTGCTGGAAAAGGACTGGGGACAGTCAAGTCCTCCTTTTGACACAGTAGATCAGTGTGTACAGTCAATAATTGCATCCTTAAATGAACTGATGGGGAATAACAAACATGCTGATAATAATAGGGGTATCCTGGGGTCTTCTCATGGCAGCACTGAAGTCTGTTTGTTATCCAGTGTGAGAGTTGGCAGGAAAGTATATTGACACAAAGAAGTGTTGATTGCATTTCCAAACTCTATTCTGTCTTGCCAAGGAAGCAGAATAGGGCTCTGTCTGCATAAGACATGGGGGGAAGAATGAGGTGAAGATTATCATTCATTTCAGCATCTGATAGAAGTTCTAGTTGATAGAAGGTTGGTTATCTGATCCATGAGATTCAGAGTAAGAGAGCTGGTACCAAAAAAGCTATGCTCTGCCTTGTTTGTACCCTCGTTCTCTTGCTATTGATGACAGATGAAGCAGGGTGGGGAGAAGAAAGAGAAGAGGTTTTCCACTGATATATACCTTTTGCTCATCTAACTTCTCCAGCCACTGAAGAGAAATAGGACAGAGAAGAGGCCCTCTTCTCCATTCTCTTTTGAACCCCATTATCTTGCAATGAAGCAGCAGTCAAATAAGGAGATCAGCAGGGGATTGTTTATCAAAATAGTAAATAAAGCGGGGGGGGGGGGAGGCATCCAGGAAAAGGGCCTGAATGGTTGTTTGGCTGAAACACAGAATGCATACACTTGAAGCTGATACATTTTTTATAGATCTAGCTTGTACTGTATATGTTTAAGTGTGGAAAATCTGGATATTACTTGACATCAAAAAGAGACAAGCGTATGCTTGTCACCATTTCTTTATTTAAATCTGTCCAATGTTTGATTAGAAACAGTTTCAACTGAGATAAGTGGGACTTTTTTCCTCTAAACTGTTGATGCAATTGTGTGTATTTATTCAAAATGATTTTTCACTGTAACACAAAGTCAAATATTCCCATCCTATTTATATCTAATCGGAAATAAACCCCAGTTTAGTCAATGAGACATGCTTCCAATAAATAAGGAAATATTTCAGCTCTGTTTGCTTTACTGTTATATGGATTATTATTTTGGTAATTGGGCAATGTTAGCAAACTTCAGTCATAATGAAATTTATGAATACATGACAATGTCCATAAAATGTAGCATTTGAAACTGACTCAAATCTGCAGTGGAGCGAATGGAAATAAAAGACCTGCAATGATAGTGAAAGTATTAGCTCAAAAAAAGAGTATTTGAAAAAAATTCTAATGGTATGAAATCACTGATATCATGATCAAGATTATTTCTGAAGATGCAGCACAGAATTCAATTTACTTCATTTTTTAAAAAATACAGTATCTAGAGTCGTTCACAAGAGATTATAGGGCATTATGTATAAAATTGTAAAAACAAATGCAATGCATCACAATAAAATGTTTGGCTCTAAGACCTGCCAATATAAAAATACAGATAGTCCTTGACTTATGGCCACAATTGAGCCCAAAAGTTTTGTTGCTAAGTGAGACATTTATAAGATTTTGTCCCATTTTATGACCTTTCCTGCCACAGTTGTTAAGTGAATCACTGCAGCTGTTAAGTTAGTAGAACAGTTGTTAAGTTAATCTGGCTTATCCATTAACTTTGCTTATCAGAAGGTCACAAAAGGGACTCACATAATTCCGGACACTGCAGCCATCATAAATATGACTCAGTTGCTAAGTATCTAAATTTTGATCACATGACTATAAGGATGCTGCAATGGTTGTGTGAAAACCAATCATAAGTCACTTTTTTCAGTGTCATTGTAACTTCAAAGGTCACTAAATGAACTGCTATAAGTCGAGGATTACCTGCATAAGCTAGTATTAATCGTATGACAGTATGTGTACGGCTCACTGAATGCCAAAGTAGCCAAAGTAGTGGGTATTTCACTTACTATAAGTTTAAAATAATTAAAATAAATTATTGATTTATTTAATAAATACACTATAAAGAGCTGTTATCATTATCCAGTTCAAATGCAATTCATTTTATAACCCATATAGTCAGTTAGTGCCAAATAAGGGTGAATGCACAATTAAGGCCATTCAGCTTAATATCTATGTTTCTTCAAAATGAATGCTAATTTATTCTGTTTGCCATTAAATGTCCAAGATTAGAACATTTTGCTGCTCTTAACAAACTCTTCCTGCTGCACACACACACACAAAAATAACAGCATTCTAAGAGGGTTTAAAAAGATATTTTCTTATGCAAATTCCATTTAATGAATGGTAGCTGTATAAAATCATGAATTCATTATAACAGTACTTTCACAAATGAACCTATTGTATTTTATAACAGCAAACAAAATAAAAATCAAGCATTGAAACATATCCATTTAAGTCTAAAATGCAATCCCATGTTTATTCAGAAATGAATCTCACTGGATTCTGTGAGCTTCCTAGTAAAAATATTTTGTATTTGAGTATCAGAATTTTTTTAGATGATTGAAATCACTTCTTTATTTAGTTTATTTTTTGGCTAGTATATAATAAAAGTAATTTAGACCACAATCCTATTTATACTTGTCTAGAAGCAAGTCTCATTGAACCCACTGGAAATTATTCATAATATAAGAAATATATATATATTAAAGTGTTGCTCCTGATTTATAATATTAATAAACAATGCTGTCAAACTTAATGATGATTAACTTTCCAAGATTTATTTTTAAAAAGACACTCTACTCATTTCTGTACATAGTTTCCAAGTATGCTTTCAAACGGTAATTCAATCTATTAAAATAGAATAATCTGATTTTTAAAGTATGTCATAATTAAAAATCTGCAATTGTGCTACTTTGACAACTGAATTATGAAAAAAGGCTTACCTCCTAATAATACATACCTGGAAAATATTAAAATCAATGTAGTTTAGAGTAGATAGTCCTAAGATTGCATCATAAATATTTCTATCTGAAGCCTGAATACAAGACAGATGCAGTTTTAAATATTATTCAGGTGTATGCTTATACTGAAATATTGTAGTACAAAGCAGCAGCAAAGGAAACTTCAAATGACATGTGGAATTTGAGTAATTTATTCTGTTTTAAAATGAAACTGCCCATTTAGAATAAGTGTAATGTTTGGTAGACCATATGCATAAAACCAGAAATTAAACTGATTGTGTTTTGACAACTCGCTTGGTTAAAAATGTAATTATCAAAAGGGTGGTCTGGTATGTACCATTGGGATGGCACATACCGTACATATTCAGGTAATAATGAAAGTTAATTGAAAAAGTCATTTTGAAAGGAGAGATGTGGCACTCAGTACTGTCTTCCTTACATGTTGGACTACAGTTCTCATCAAGCCAAGCAAAGATTACCAATGATATTTTACTTTGGAGAAATAAAGAATAGGAGGCATCAGTTGAATAAAAATTCCCTTGCAAATCATTGACTGAATTGATATACAACTCTGAATCAGGACACTCAAAGTAAAGTTGTAATACTTATGGGGATAAGTTCTCTAACTTAAGGGCCCCAAAACTGAAGCTTTTTTTAAACATTGACACAAAAGTTACTTGTGAGTCAGAAATGAATCTGATTATACCATTAAACAAATGTGTTAAATAAACTTCATAGTGAAGCACTACTGAAAACATTTTACTTTGGCTACTTAGCTGCTAGTTTTACATTAAGTGAAACACCAGTATTTCATTTTATTACTGGATATGTAATATTTTTTGCAAGATATATTTAGGAAGGTACTGGGTAATGTCTGCAGTGCCTAAAATGTTGCAGGGCAAAAAAGTATTTGGAGTACTCTATGTCAGAGATCCCCAACCTTTTGGGCACCAGGGACCGGTTCTGTGGAGAAAGGTTTTTCCACAGACCGGAGAATGCGTGGTTTTGTGTGCTGCCTGCATCCCATGGATGGGGCTTTGCTTGTTTGTGCAGACCCCTTGCTGGCATGCTGCGGCTGGTACCGGTCCATGGACCAGGGGTTGGGGACCCCTGCTCTATGTGGTCTGTAAGCAGCTTGAGAGGCCCACTCTAAACCAGACTGTCATGGGCTAGCTTGGACATAAGCATTGTTCAGTACTCATGGTTAAAACCAGCTATAGCTTTTAATGCAGCATGTGAATACCGTATTTTAAATCAGCATTCCCCAATCAGTTTCCCTTGAAAAGTGTTAAAAGAAATAGCTTCCTTTAAAGACCAGAGATGAGTAATTATATGGTCAGAACTCTGAAATGTCATGCCAGCGTGAACAATGGTAGGGTTATCTGGGAAATCATAAAAATTGGAAACTTACAGATGACAAGGACACTAATCAGGGAAGGCCAATTTATTTACTGAAAGGGGGGGGGGGGGAGCTAAAGAACAAGATAAAACTATCCCAGTGTTTCAATCCCTGCATGCTTCCAGGGAACCTGCGGAATTCCAGTAAAGTCATTGGTGATTTATTGTTGAATAAATACCATTGGTGCCCACAATACAAAGCTATTCCCAGATGTTCACACTCCAATCCAGGTCAAATTGCTAGTAACGTCATAGAAACAATTCACATACTGATTTTGGCAAAAGATGGAATACCTGTTTCCAGAATGTTTTTCTACTACAGTGTCTAATTTATATCCCTGGAATCTCCTGGTAGCTTTCCATGGCGTCAGCTTTTTAAAAACAAGCAAGGTTGGCTAACCGCTGCCATCCAGTAGTACAACGCAAACGGGCAAAGCTGTAAAAGCGGAATCGAGTCTTGACGTGCCTTCCGCTTCCTGTTTTTCTGTCGCTGGTGCCCGCGCTAGGATAAGAAGGAAGCCGCCATTGGTCGAGAAAGGCGTCTCCGCCTCCTGCTCAGTCTTCCTGAAAGGCTTGCGGCAAGCACGGGGGAGAGTGGCTGCAATGGCCGAGCCGCCTCCTCCAACGAGGGGGCTTCGACAAGCGCTGGAGGCTCATCTGCAGGGCCTGGGCATCCAAGCACTCAGTGTGGAACATCCGGCAGTGAGTGAAGCCGCGAAATGAAGCGTTCTGGGGAGGGGGGCGGCAACAGCCGATAGAGAAGCCGGTGTGCGGGGAAAGACAGCTGCGCGTGGGTCGTGGCTGATCAATCCTTTTCTATCACTTCCTTTTTCCAAAAATGGAGATTAATTTACTACCAAGTCGATGCACGTGAAGCAAGTCCGCCTGAGTTAATGGAACTCACTTCTCGGAAATAAGTATAAAGTTGCAAGCTTGTTAGTTGTATCTGCTCAACACTAGGTAGAGAGCTATCTGCTAGATGGCAGCGAACTGATACAAAAAACATTCGGGGTTTAAAGCCCAAGTATAGAAGACCTACATAACAACATGTTAACATGCTGCCATATGTGTCACTGATCATGTTGTCCTAGAGCACAATAAACATAATATGGCTTATATGTAGTTAATAAACCATGGTCTATGTGAAGGATTAGCCTCACCGAGGGATTTGAGCCATGATGTCAGCTGATTGTTCAAATAAGTCAAACATTCTTTCCTGATGTTTTTCAGTATAATTATTTGTTAATATTATAATAATTAAAACAATAAATGGGCTAATTATAAAATGCTAAGAAAAATATTATTTTGGATATGCTCCAGAGGCTTCCTGATTTCCTTTGAATGGCTGCATTTCATCTATGTAATGTTAAACTGGGAAAGCTGTGGGATATTAACCTGAGCAGGTGAAAGGATTTTAACTTTTTAAAAAACCAAAATAATTTAGGTATGTAAGCCAATCTGATTATCCTGTTGAAAATGTTGCTGCCAAATTTCAGCAATGTAATTTTTGGGACTGAAAAGATGGGCTCAAGAATGTATTTGCTTATTCTGGATTACATGATTAGAATTTATGTGGATTTTTCAGGTAGTAAATTGAAATGTGCAGGATTCTTGTTCATTTCACTGGCCTGAAACTGCTGCAAAGTGCAGTTTAAATGCAGTTTTAAAAACTTGTAACAGCTATATTCAAAGAAGAGCCATACTTTTTCTATTCTCTCTTCTAGGTATTCACAGTTGAAGAAATGATGCCTTATGTCCAACATTTAAATGGAGCTCATAGCAAAAATCTTTTCCTTAAAGATAAGAGGAAAAAAGGTTTTTGGCTGGTGACAGTTCTGCACAATCGACAAATCAATTTAAATGATTTGGCTAAGAAACTGGGTGTTGGAAGTGGGAACCTGCGCTTTGCTGATGGAGCAGCCATGTTGGATAAGCTGAAAGTTGGCCAAGGATGTGCAACCCCCTTAGCTCTTTTCTGTGATCAGGGAAATGTGAACTTTGTTTTGGATGCTGGCTTTCTGGAAGAAGGTCATGATAGGCTTTATTTTCATCCAATGACCAATGCAGCAACTATGGGCCTGCACCCAGACGACTTCCTAAAATTTCTGAAGTCCACAGGACATGAACCAATAATTGTGCATTTTGATGAAAGCCACAAGTAGCTTTGTAACCCAATAGAGTAACTGGGTTGGAACTTGGAACTTCTTTAACACACATAATGAAATCCTGCATTCGGAAAGGTTTCTAGGGTAGAAGTCATCATTGGAAAATCATGAGAGTAAATCTCCACTCTTTTTAGTACATTTAGTGCTGATATTTATGACTCATTCATTCATGATATACAAGATTAGTAAAACACGCTATTTGTGCACTATACTTTGCTTCATTTTTACTTGTTTCCTTTTAATTTTTTTTAAAATTTAAATTGTAGTTTTTATGTATTTTATTTTATTGTGTATGCCATTCAGAATCACTATATGACATAGATAGCTATACAAATACGATAAAATAAACTTAATCCAGCATTCTTTCTCAAGAGAGAAGTGACCCCAGTCCTGATCATGTGCAGTGTTGCTCCACCTACTTTGTGTCATCACTCATTGGGGCTCAGGATGGTCCCTAAAGGTACCAAAGTGTACCAAAAGCTATAATAGGTCTTTTTCCAATATAGTGTTTAGGAAAACTCATTAAAGTGCAAAGTATGCAACATGACTATTCTTCTGAAGGGCCAAACAAGGTTATTTCAAAATAAGAGAAAGTTGACAGTTATTTTGTTTCAAATTTTAATAACATAAGTAGTGTACAATGGCAAACATTACAAAACTCCTTAATAGGTATAAGAAAAGGAAGTTACAACTTTAAATAACAGTTTCTGTATAACAGTGTTTAGATTGTGTCACAGTGACATGCTGTTTTTCCTTTAAGGCAGTTCCATTCTGAACAGTGTTTGAGTTATACACAATACAATAGAGTTTACAGATAACTTATATTGGCCCCATGTTGGAGCTGTGCCATCTCTCAAAATACAAGAATTTTAAGAAATAATGCATTCTGGAAAGAATGTAGCTTTAGCAATCAGCAGCAATGGAATGGGAATATTTTCATTGTATTACAGCAAATTTGCAAATTTTATTTTGTAGCTGCTGAATACTGTTGTGTATAAAAAAAAAAGCCCTTGCATTTAATCCTAAAGGTGATGGATTTTAAAGTGACACATAAATTGACACTGTTACAGAGTTTTTATTTTTTAAAAAAATATTTTATGAACTATATTAATGAAAATTGGGACAAAGAACTATGGCATACATTTTAATTTCTTTAGATTAAAAATTTGTGAAATCTAGAGAGATAAGGAAAGCCAGTTATATTCAAATGTACTCTGGAAAGAAAAGCTATAAACAAACAAGGCTTTGGTTTTCCTGAAGAATACCTGTATCAAAGTTCATTTCTCTTAAGTTCTCAGCAGAAAATCATCTGGCTTTTCACAAAATACATTTTTTAAAGACAGCTATGGAGACAAATTACACATAGTTTACAAATCTCAAACTCCCTGTCCAGAATTATCAGTGTTAGGCTTCATTAAAACAAGATGGTAGTTTGTTTTAACTCTGAATCATGCCTAAATATATACATATAACTTTGTAATACTAAACCAAATCTGCCAAAATTGGATCATTAAAAAAGGCATAATCTATTATTAATTTTTCCTAGGCAAGCCTCACATGAATAATATGCTCTTGGTCATCTTCATTATACCAGAAGCGTCACTTGTACTACTTAAACTATGTAGAAAAAGTTTGTACCTAAACCCAAGTACAAAACAGTGTATGAATCACATACAAAACTGAAAAATCAAGAAAAATAGGTACAATCAGAAATAAGTGCTTGAAAAGCAGGTGATTGTTTCCCAAAACTGCAAACATTTTGAAGGAATGCATACAAAACAGTAGTTTATTTGATAAATATTCAGATGTACAAGATTAGAACCATAAATCTGCCCAATGTTGAGAGTTTTCACATTCCCATATTTCCATATCTGCAAGTAACAATAGTGGTCACCTAAGATGGAATAGCACAACTGAAGAAGCCCTTCATTAGTGTATTTTTTATAAAGAGGCTTGCATTCAAATCTTTTCAGTAACACACAGCTTTTTATTCAACTAACCTAGATTTAACCTGATTTAGTACAACTGCTTTGGTATTTTCATGGAACTAGTTTTGAAAATTGTCAAATGCTTATTAGATACATCTCTTCCATTAAATTTTTGATTGTTAATTTTAGCTTTAATATGAATTTATTTTATGTTTTGTATTTTTTTAAAAAAATGATAGCTGTCTTAACTTTCTTGAGCAGGCGAAGTATAAATCAAGTATATAATAAATAGTAATAATGATAGTCAGTTTGAGGATCTCTGGATAGACATTTCATCAATAAATAAAAATGAAAGTATCATTGCTGTTCACAGTGTAAAACAGACACTGCAAATAATCATGTGATTTTGCTCTTGGCTATCTCAATCTATCCACATTAAGTGTAATGTCATTCTTACCTAAATATACAATGCTATCTGGGAAGCATAAACTTTAAAATTTATTTATTCAAATTACTTTTTTTCCTGCCCTATATTTCCATTTTCATATTTCATTTTCTGAGAAATGAAGGTGGTCACGTTCATTCTACTCTGGCTACTATGTTCAACCTTCTAAAATTATTTTATTAATTTTCAGATTGTTCAGTGTACCCAATACTTTATACTTATAAGATCAATTTCAGTGATTCTACTTTTTCCTCATCAAAGATCTTATATAGGGATATTTATATAGATTTTTCTCTCCATACACTCATACTGGATTCACATTTAATACTGAAATAAGAAAACTTGTGTACTTATAGATATTAGCTGACTTGGATGATAAGATGTGGTACAGTTGTGAAATTTTCATATATCTAAGGTAAGTTTTTTTCCCCACATTAAAATCGGGGAGAGCCTATCATACACCATAAATTTTATGGTTGCAATTGTGCAACATACTAACCCATTTAATTGAATTACTCCAGTTGTTCAGGTATGCAGTGTAATGCACTATCAATGCATTTATACACTATTGCTGGATGTGTACAAGACAGAATCTATATCATTATGGGTGATGTGAACCCAATCTTTTAATTTTTTTCTGTTAAATCCCAATTAGAAATTGATTATGGCTTAATTTGTTCCATTGATCAGGAATAAATCTACCCAGGCACAGCTGTTTCAAGAGTATACATTGTATTGCTTCCAAACGATGTCTAGTTGTTCTGCTTAGCTAACCCCTGTGGCTCTGTAAGTTGCTTTTCATTTGGCACAGAAAAGGGCAGAATTTATTTTTATCTAACAGAAATAACATTGATTGTCAGCAAAATCCTGGTGAGTATAATTATCAATTTTTAAAAATATATATACAATGTATAGGCAATGGATCTGATTCAACCAAGATATTGGAACTCTACTTATGACTAATTTGGCTGAGATACAAATAATGAGATTAAAGATATACATATATTAAGATTAAATAAATCATTTAAGGTTAAATATGGTACATATCATGGAAATATTAATAATTTAGTGGTTTGTAAGAAAATAAACTTTGAAAATTTAATAGAAACCAGAAACCCTTGTACATCTGCAAAGATTAATCAAATCTAATTTCCTGTATTGTTCGCATATAAATATTAAAGTATCAACTATTTTAATCAATCTTAATGCATGAGAAACAAAAATATGATAGTCATTAAAACAGCTTGAAAAATGTTCATGATGGATTTTCCCTAGAAACATTTTCTAAGCCATTATTTATCTTAAAATATCAAATTAAAGATATACATTAAATATGTAAAATGAGACAATTTATTTTGGATGGTTCCTGTTGAAAACAAAATCAATTTCATCCAACAAATCTTCAGAAATAGTTTTTAGCATCTTTTTGTCCCCTCAAAATGAGTATATTTATTGTGACACAAACTATATGGAAAAGATTAATTAATCTGAGGGTCTATTAAATATTCAATTATGTTTTGAGGTACCTATTCTTCTTGCCATATACATCAAAATAATCAGCAGTTTTGTTTTCCCAAGAGTAACATCATGCACACCAATAAGACTGAAGTGACAAGATGCTTGTGGAGGTATTTTTCCTACCTGTATTTACAACAATTTCCACAATCTACAACAGTTTTATTTTAGATTTACAGAACTGAACGCTAGCAGAGCAGAAGTAGTAAGCAACTGGTGACCATGTTTATAAAAGAACGAGAACATAGTAATTGTATTCCTGAAGTAGTTCTTGAGACTGCACAAACCTTGGTCCTTGGAGGGATGAAAATTCTCTTTTAGAGCGTAACAGTGCAATGTGCAATATAGTCTGTCTTTTTAAAAAAATCATCAGCAGCTGCTGGTACAATTCCTTGATTCAAGGAAAGATGTGCATTTCTTGACTGCTCTATTCATGAAGGACTGTAAAATTTTTGATTTTTTTTTTTTTTAAAACATGACTCCTATAGCCGGAGACCTTATTACTTCAGAAATAAAGGCTTCATACTGAGATACTGAAGGACACTTTTCTCTCTGTGTTCAATTTAAAAGCAGAAAGAGAAAAGAAAATGAAAGGAAAGCTTAGCTATAGAATATATCTAAAAATTTGCTACTAAAAGAACTAGTAAGATGCAACAGTAGCAGTTTAAGCAGCAACAAGAAGGAAAAGGAAAAATAACCTATATAAAAAATATATGACATCATCATCTGGTGGTAAGAAAGTAAAATATTGTATTGGGTTAAATTACAAAAACTGAACCATGTTGAATCTGACTTTATATAGGATTGCAACCTATACCATTTGATTTTCTTTGCCTATACATCATCATATGCAAAGCTGGACATGCTGCAGTTCTGTCTAAAAATACAATAACTGGCAATACTAGAAGTTTCTAGTTCCTGGAATAGCAGAAACATACTGAAAATATGTTTTTTGGGAACCATAATAAGGAATGTCCTGAATATTCCTAACTTCTACTACATAGTACGATCAGAATTATGCAAAAAATAAAAATGTAAAACAGCAGGCACTTCAAGTAAGAGGCAGTCTGCTTACAAAATACCAACTATAGAATTCTGCTGTTCTTCATACAGAATCTGACTTGCCCTGATAAGTTGCTATCTCATTGAAATGTAATGGGTACCAAAATGCAGCAGCATCACTCAGAATAGTTGAACATAATAATAATAAGCATGAGCCCTGCTCCAAAAGACTATATCAATGCAATACAGAAAACACAACAATAAATCAATATTCAGATAATGATTTGGTACTATATAATAATAGAATTCTGGAGAAACATTTTACTTTTTAAAAGGAAAAAGAAGATAAATATTCCTTTCCTGGCAGGTAAAATTAAATATGCCATTCTCATTTGGCTTGGGCAGTAGCCAAGATAGCGAGTCACTTAATCTAAGCACTGCTGGCAATTGTTAATGCAGTGTGCATGTGATCTTATTTGTTAATATTAATTTCTTTCCCTTCTCTGTAAATGAAAATGATCTCATTTACACATTGGGCAAAAAACTCACCACTTGGCCCACATCTCATGTTGTAGGGGCAATTGAATTAGGAGCTTTCTTGCTCCCTACAACTGCTTTTTGAATGTCTGTTTTCTGGTTTTGCTTCCACATCTGCAGAAGAAAAGCATTTCGTGTTACTTGCATAGCAGTTAAAATAAAATGTTCTCACATTGCAAAAACATTGGCAAGTTTCATTTGTACATTTACAAAAATTAAGGAGAGAAGTAAAAAAAAGGAAAATAACACAGTTGATATATTTACAGATTTATTCTGTTAATACTTTTTTTGCAATTAGAATTGAAAATTTATCATTTGGAAAAGAACAGCTCTAAATATAATTCTTCAGTGAAATAAGAACATTTATGGAATTATGTCCATCAGCAAAAATATGCATAGGATTTATTCATTTTATCAAGTTTTAAAGCTGAAAATCATCCTTGCATGCAGTAATAATGGAACATGCAAAACTCATTTATCTAAAATTAGTTCTTTACTTAGAAAAGCAACATTGCAATCAAGTATTGCACTGTAAGTAAGATAATTATCCTCCTTTCTCGGCAAATCAACCAATTTAGTAGCTTCTTTTCAAAGCAACAAGTGGATGCTTTTAGTATAAGCTCCAATTTGTATTAAGGCAAATGAAGTCTGTGGCTAAAGTTATTGGGCTTTTTTCCCCACTCAAACTGAGACTAGTCCTAGGCTACTTATCATCATCTGTGAAAAACTTTATTTTTGCTAGCTATTATCTATCTCTGGCTGGATCTTCCTTAGATCAAATCCTAGACCTAGATCATTCTCCAATTCTAGACCTTTACAACTGTTGCAAGCATGAAGAATAAGGCTTCAGTTTCATTTCTCTTTGATTAACAATAGATGAAAATCAAGCTACAAATCCCAGTAAAGAAAATGCTTTTCATTGTTGTAGTAAAGGAGCATCTCCTATTTCCAAAACAATTAACCAGTGTGAGATGACTTGCCTCTGGAAGTTTTCAAGAAGAGACTGAACAACCATTTGTCTGAAATGGTATGGGGTTTCCTGCTTGAGCAGGACTAGAAGATCTCCAAGGTCCCTTCCAACTCTGTTGTACTATTATATATTCAATAAAAATTATTTTCTTAGTGACTGATGAGAAAGGGTTAATTTAATATTTTGTGTTATGTGTGCCTCATTCTGCTAATTTGCCCTCTATTTTTTTTCCTCTTCCCCGATCTTGTCTGTAGGCAGATTATAAGCAGGGATGGTCTTAATGATTCTAAAGACCCAACTCTGAATAAAATTATACCATGTAAGAGAGCCAGTTTGGACTAGTGGTTAAGGCAACAGGGTAGAAAGCCAGAGACCATGAGTTCAAGTTCTGCCTTAGTCATGAAAGTCAACTGGATGACTTTGGGCCAATCAATCTCTCTCAACCCAATCCACCTCACATTGTTGTGGGGAAAATAAGAATAAGATGTGTTGGCCAGCAAAGCTTGCCAAGATGTTCCAGAACAATTCACCAACATGCTGGAAATGTAAAAAAGTACATGGAACATATTATCATTTATGGTGGACATGCCCAGTTGCAAAAAAATACTGGTCTACAATAAGAAAATGGATCGAAGAAATAATAGACCAACCCATAGACTGGAAAGCAGAGATCTTTTTGTTGGGTATTTTAAACAGAAAATATAGTAAAGAAATACGGTACTTAATTTTACATATAATAACGGCGGCAAGAATAGCATATGCACAGTGCTGGAAAAATGAGAATATACCATCAGAGGAAGAAGTAATAAGAAAAATCCTGGACTGTGTTAACATGGACAAATTAACAAAAGAGATAAAAGAAAAGGAAGACACAGAGTATTATATAACATGGAACATGTTGTATGTCTGGTTGGAGACTAGAAATAATAGAGGAGAATAAATATGGAAAGGTCAAAAGTGAAAATATGTGTATAATAATAATAATATGAATTATTCTTAGTAAGAAGTAGAACATGAAGGAAGAAGAATGTAAATAAGAAATAACGGGGCTATAAGGACAAATATTCTAAAGAAGAATAAGGGGGGAAACGTAAATAATAGATTACCATTATGCAGTTGCTGTAAAAAAAAGGAGTATATATTGTGTGTGTATGTGTGTTATGTTTTGCTTTGTTTTGTTTTGTCTTGTTGGTTAAAAATAAAAATAAATAAATAAAAATTAAAAAAAGAGAGAATAAGGTGTGTTGGATATGTTTGCCATCTTGAATTGTTTGTAAAAATAGCATTTTAAATGTAATAAGTGTACAAGGAATTTATCCAAGGAATTACAGGCAAACCCATGAAAAGGTTTTGGAGATAGTAGCTAGTCTATTCAAAGTAGCAGGAGATGTAAAACACTAGCTCACACAATTTGGGATAGTAGATAATAGAAAGATAAGTGTGCTATAAATAAAATATATGAGAAGCTGCTGCAATCTCTGGGTCATAGAAAGTTTTTTTTCTTGTTAGTAGGAGAGGAATGAGTCTTTGATTCTATTCCCCAAGAACAATTCTGGAGGAAATTAGCCACTACAATGGTAAATAGTTGTCCTCTTAGAATAATAATGGTTTTACACCAAGGCATAATGTTTACTCAAGCAAAGAATAATCCTTGGTGATTTAATTGAACCTATTAGCAAAGATATACAACAAGATGATAACTTCATCTCACTGTTATTCAGCTTTTGCATTAACCATATTGTTGAGATGTATAAGCCTCCCTCTCTTACTGCTCCATCTCTAGTTTACTTTATCTGATTATGTAGCCATACTGTCTGTAACCCAAGCAGGCCTTAAGATGCCAGAATAAAAGTACGTTCTAGGTCAGACATGTCAAACTCATGATGTCACGCAACATCACGCAACGTATCGGGACAGTTTTGCCATTGCCAGCAATGGGGTGGGTATGGCTTCTGCATGACGTGTCCAGCCCACGGGCCGGCAGTTTGACACCCCTGTTCTAGGTAATGCTTTAAGGCTCAATTAGATGGACAATAGCAAACTTGTCAAACAAGTAAAATATCTAGATCTCTATTTGTATTCTTCTATCTGCTGGTTTATTCAAACAAGAAAGCTTCAAATAAAAGTCCCCAAACCATCCTTTGCTACTAAATTTGCAAGTCAATTGGTGACAATTAAGTCCCATGAGCCATTAAATTATTTAAAGCCAAAGCTCTGGGTTTAGTGCTATATGATATGGTATCAGTTGTGTATTTATAAGAAGTCTCCTAGTTTAGAAGCACTCTATTTTGTTTTGAAAATCTTATCACTACCTTCCAATGTCTTAACACAACTAGAAATAGGCTGGATTTTCTTTGAGAACTGATTAAGATTTCATTGTCTTACATTCTGGCTGAGGCAAGTCTACTAAGAAGTGTCTTAGTTCATCTCATCTTGCTGAATAAATTGTCTTCCAGCCCAAGAAGACAAATTAATGATGATTTTACATATCGTGGCCTTACTTTGTCAGCATTATCTGCTTTGAAATTTGATAAAACCCTGGTTGAAGCATTTGGGATCTAGATATCCACAATGATAGAGCCAAAGTCTCCTGTCTCTTTTGTAGTATTATCACTCCTTCCTGGTCTATCCCTATAACATCTTGTACTCCCCACATAAGAGATTATTTGCTTTGGTTTGAATTAGGGCACTACCTGTAAGGGCAACAAAGATAGGTAAATAAGCTTCCCATATGAAGGCCAAACTTGCTTTTGTTCAGACTAGGAGATAGAATTTGATCCATATGTGCTATTAAAATGTTCAATGTATACTAATGGTGATCATGTTTAATACATCCAATTATGAGGGGTCCTTGACGTGCTCTGCGCTTGTTTTTTTGCAGACGTTTCATTACCCAACCTAGGTAACATCATCAGTGCTAGTCATCAGTAATAAATGAAATGTCTTCAAGAAAACAATGAAGCTGAGACAGCATCAAGGATCTTTTATTTCAACCCTGAGCTACAAATATTCTTCTTTATTGGTACTTCCTATAACTGTAATTGCCACTATCATCAGGAGACTGTTAGGTTCTCCTGGGTGATTGTTTTTCAGAAACCTCTAAGAAAGTTGCACAATGCTTATCAATAGCTACAGCCTTATATATTTATTCAATTTATACAGCTGCCCATCTCACTTTTATGTGACTCTGGGTCACAGGTGTCAAACTTGATTGCGTCACGTGATGTATCGAGACATATCGCAATGTTTTTTGCCTTTGCGGAGCTAGGATGTGTGTGACGCATCCAGTCCATGAGCCGCCAGTTTCACACCCCTGCTCTGGGTGGCTGGTTCCTCCCTCATGCTATTAATTGTTAGCTGCTAATTGCTTTAAGATGTTCTTGCAATTTTCTTTTTATAGTTATTGCACTGTATTGTATGCTGTTTGTAATTATTTTTACTCGACTGACAGGTCTAATTGTTTATTCTCTGCCCATAGAAGAGAAAGCAATTAGAAAGTAACTGTGATACATCCTATAGAGAGTTTGGTTTAATTAAGATATTGGATTAAAAATCATTAAATGAGAGTTCTAGTCCAACCTTAGGCATAAAGCCAGCTGGGTAACTATGGGCCAGTTACATTCTCCCAGCTCTAGGACAAGGTAGTGGCAAGCTACTTAAAAAAACAATAACACCAACACCAACCCATTGCCACGAAAACTGCAGGGAGTAGTCCAAACAGTCAAGACTCTTTCAAAGGCAGACACTCATACAAAACAGCCTACCTTGGAAGAAGACTGGGACACATTCAAAATTATTTATCTCTACGGTCTCTAAAAGGTTCGCCATCACTGCTTTAAGAGAAGTTCTAGCCTGTGTTGGGTGAGATTTGCTCCTTGTTGTCTTTCACTGGTATTTTAGGCATCTCTTTAGCTCAGGAGTCCCCAACCTATGGGCTGCAGCCCACAGAAATGGCTGGCCTGTGTGCGCACACATGGGCACGCACTCCCCACTTACACTAGCACCCGCAGCCTGTTTGTGCATTCATGCAGGCACGAATGGGGGCCCTAGCATGGAGCGGGTGTCCGCGGTCCATTTCCGCATGCACGAACAGGCTGCTAGCCGTGGTGGGTTGTGTGGCCCATTTGCGCATGCGCGAACGGGG